GCAGTGCTCAATTTTTCAGAATAAAATCATATTGCAAACATTTGGGGACGACCATTTGATTTTCTTGGAAGGGGGGCGGGGCAGGAGGATTTTGTAAATGAATAAATTGGCCTGGTCAGAACTGAAAATAAATGACCTTGCACAAGGCAGGATGAAAATGAATATTCTGCAACTTAAAATGCAGGATAGTTTAGGATACAAATGTGTACAAAATCAGAAAAAAAAATTGTGCAGAAAAGCCTTGGAAAAAAACTAGAATGCGTAGTAACAGTTGAAAATAAATAATAACTCTGGAAAAAATCCTCCTGGCTGGCCCTAGAATATCAAATGGTTGTCCCCTTATCTTCCAGAAAGTGTTTTTATTCAAAAGGGACTAATTATCTCTATTTGTCCACAATGTAACATCATATGAAAAATTGATTCTCATATTTTCAAATGAATGCAATTTATGAGATTTAAAAGTGAAAGCATTTAGAACAGATATACTGGTTCATTAGAAAAGATTTACCTGGTTTCAATAATTAATTATCTTTTTTATTCATTTGAATGCATACAACAAGAATGCTGTGGGCACGATTGATATTTACCCTTCAAATAGTTCTATGGTATACCTAATCATGCACTTCAAACGATTCCTTCATGGGGCATCTCTTTCTCTCATAGAAGTTTTCTAATTTCTTCACATTTGCTTAAGTCCAGTTTTTTTAAGACACTAGTTTTTTTATTGTTCTATATAATTGGTACAAATATTTAGGAACATTTGTTTAGAAAAATGGTTAAACAACATGCAAAAAACATAAATAAAGCAATTACTTCATGCACTAGAAAATGAAACGGTAATGGGGACTAATTTTGTTGTCATGTAATTTCATATGCTTGTGGTTGAATGTTGGATTTTTATTTCAGTGACAATTGATTATACCACATTTTCATATTTTTAAACAACATTCTAAGAAATTGGTAAACACCAAATTCTTGGATTTTATGGTCCACTTAATTTACTAACCACAGAACCAAACAAAACATATAATGTGCTTATCTGAATCCATTTTTGTGTTTAATACCCTGGTAAATTTTTTTTTCTCAATAAAATAAAAATCTGTTCTGATGAATAAAATTGTATCCTTGTCCATTAGCATCAGTGATGAGGAGCAGGTCAAGGGTTAAAGTTGAACATCATGTGCCTACTAAGCCTTATTTCCCAGTAATACTTTCTACCAGTTCTATAAGTGTCTACTAAACCCTTCTTCACAGTAAGATTTTTTACCAGGTCAAGTGTCTACTAAACTTTTCTTCACAGTAAGATTTTTTACCAGGTCAATTGTCTACTAAGTCCTACTTCACAGGAAAATTTATTTAATAGATCTTAGGCTGTATAAGCATGGAGTGTCTATCAAAAGGCCTCAATTTACTTGATCAACTTTATAAAATTCAAATGAACAAATTATGGTATTAATGAAAGGAGAGGTGGATCTATGTTAATGAGACAGCTACCCAATAACTAAAACATTTAAAAAGATATTAAAAAAAGTAGTTTAGAATAAGGTGGTTTTCATACATGGAGATTGTTTCAAGACATCATCACGGTGTCCATTTCAAAGTGTTTACATATTTTTCCTCTTTTCTTTCCAGACCTTACTATTATGGAAGATATTAAATTCCTATTTATCGGTGAATCAGCAATTATGACTTGCACCATCAACATGCAGACCATTCAAAATTACTCTGTAGAAAATTTAAAAATCAGAGTAAATAAATGTAGTGAAAAAAAGTCACTACATAGACAAATTGGCCAAAAAAATAGGTCAAAGGAAATTCATGTTAGGGATGTAATCGAAGATTTGCCTTGTAGAGATCAGATATTCTTAGATTACGCATGCCTTTATGACAGGAAGAATAGTGACAGTTGCATTGTGGGAAGAAAATTTATTTATTTTGATTGTAAGATAATATTTTTGCTGATGCAAATTTTATGTAGAACTGTACATTTTGTGAATGTACAATATTATGGTACATATATGTCTGTTGTCATTTTCTATGTCATTAGAGGACAAATAATAATCAGCAACTAAAAGTAATGCATGGTTAAAGAGATATTTTTACTCCCTTGATTACGAGTGGTAGTATAATCATTCTTAAGGATGTACTTAGGTGAAATTAAAAAAATCTAGAATTTAAAATTGATACAATAAGTCAGAAGAGCATTATTTAAAGAACAAAATAAGCTAAAATTAAAAACCACATCAATTTTCTAAATGATTGATGAGAAGCCACTGATTGTTCACTCAAAGTTACAATTGGCATCCAAGCATTGGTTACTTCATACTGATTCAATAAATATATGGGTTCTATACATTTTTGCCTGAAATAAGGAAGATAATTTGCTACTTCTGGTTAAAAAATGTCACTTCCAGTCTCATATGATAGCTTTATTCACACTGATTTCAAAAATATATGGTTTCTATATACTTTTGCCTGAAATAAGGGAGATATTTAGCTACTTCTGGTTTAATGAAGGTCACTTCCTGTCTTAAATGATAGGTTTATGTATGCCTATTTAAAAAGTATATAGTTTCTATGTACTTTCCCATGAAATAGGTGCAAAAATGGCTACTTCCGGTTTACTCAAGGTCACTTTCGGTTGATATTTTTCAAGGTCATACGTCATCCAACATTTTTGAAAAGACCCTATGGCTTTATCATGTATCAAGTTTGAATAATAATCAATCAACCTTAAATTTAACCATTTCAGGGACAATAACTCCTATAAGATGTCATTGGATTGTTTCAGACCAAATGTATCATATCTTCATCACAATGAGGCAAACATTTTGCACTAGTTCTTTTATATATATCTTTAAAATTGACAGAGGAGATCATAAAACAAGGAAAAGTCAAAATTTAGAATATGACCTTGACCTTTGACCTTGACCTCAATATCATTTTAGTGAATCAAGGACTTCAAACTAAAATACCTTGGTCTCTATCACTTACCATTCATGTTAATTGTACATTAATAGTTAACTTATGTCAAATACAGAAGGGGAAATAACTCTCATATGGAGTCTTCATGTCGCTTCAATCAAAATTGGACAAAACATCCTGAGGATATAACGAGCAATTTGGTAAAATAAAATAAATTTGTCAATTTCTTTTACGGTTACGGAGGAGATGCACGAACAAAAAAACAGTGTTTGGGGAGATAACTCTTACAATAAAAAGCTTTTGACTAAACAGGGTCAAATTTAAAAGTGCAATAATTGTTTGATATCATATGCAAAATATATAAGCGACATCTTATGAAACCACTATACACCGCAAGAAAAAAATTTGGCGGAAGAAGAAGAAAAAAAATAATCAGAAGAAATACAATAGGTCTTTCCACAGAAAAGTGGAAAGACCTACTTATTGATAGGTTATGGAGCTCCTTTTCGAGATATTTAATTTTTTAAAAATGGCGGGAAAAGGCTGACTCTGACTTTTACCTTATATTTGCATTGGTAATATTTGGGTCTCAAATTGGAAGAAAAGAAATCTAGAACCTGCTTAAATTTTGGTAAATGACTATTTATGAGCTATTGAAGTCTTTTATGAAAAGAAAAATGAGTGTTATGGGGCAAAATATTTTACCCTGTATCGTAGGAAAAAAAACCAAGGAGTCTGAACATTTGACAAAAATTCCTAAACCTCACCCAAGTACATCCTTAGGTGTTTAAATTATTATTTAGATACACACATTTTATGCTGCTTATTATATAGTGTTTTTTATAGTAGAGGCTTGCTAGTTAGTTTAAGAGTTCTTGTAAATCAAAACTGTAAATTTATTTTTTTCTTTCCAGACCTAACTCTTACAGAGAACATTCATTTCCTTTTTATTGGTGAATCAGCAAATATGACTTGCTCCATCCAAAAACAGTCCATTCAAAATTTCTCAGCTGATAATTTCATTGTTACTGTGAAACGGTGTGGTGTCACTAGCCCACTTCCCAAAATTTTGAACGAGACATCAGACCTTATGGAAATGTATGTTATGGACCTAATCAGGGACCTACATTGTGGAGATCAGATAATGTTGGAATATAAATGTATTTATCGTACAAAGAATGGTTCCAGTTGTCATGTAGGAGAAAGGGACCTCATTTATTTTGATTGTAAGAAAAACCTTTTTCTCATTTAAACCCTATATACCTCTGTTTTAGATGAATGCAGTGCATTGTGATAACATATTATTGTTTAGGTCTGTCATCATCTTTAAAGCAAACATTTGACCCAAAAAACATCTATAAAGCAAACATTTGACCCAAAAATCATCTATAAAGCAAACATTTGACCCTAAAATCATCTATAAAGCAAACATTTGACCCAAAAATCATCTATAAAGCAAACAGTTGACCCCAAAAAATCATCTTCTGCCTTTCCCTTTGGAAGTTCAATAGAGTTTATTTTTAACCTCTGATTAAAACCTTGCTAGAAATACAGAGTCTGCATGAAGATGTTCATTTTTCTTGCTGCGGTGTGTTTTCGTAAAGATGTCTCATCAATTGACATCACATCATTTCACTCTCATAAGAATTGTATTATTCTTTTTGGCTTTACTGTGAAATGACTGTTATTGTTTCACTCTAACTATTGCAGTTTGTTGGAAATTCTGACCCAGTTGCAATTTGTTTCATCAAATCAAACTGTACAACTGATGAAGAATTTATTTTCCATATATATATATATATATATATATATATATACTTATATTGGCATGATGACTTGATTGGCTTTCCTAGAGCAGTTAAGTCAAATTTTGACCAGTTGTGCTGTTTTTTTAATGTAACAGATTGGGTTAGAATTTTATTAAACTGAAATAAGTGGAATAAAACACTTACAGTCAAGTCACAGTAAAAAAAAAGAGGTTTTGTTTGCAATACAATACAAACAAATGGTTGATGGTAAGTTTTTATTTGGTTTGTTGTTCAAAAGTTAAATATTAGTTTTCCTTTTTTTTCCAGACCTTACTCTTATGGAGGATTTTAATTTCTCTTTCATTGGTGAATCTGTGAATCTAACCTGCTCCATCAATACACAGACAATTCATAATTTCTCAGCTGATAAGTTTACTATCAAAGTGAAAAAATGTGGTGTAACATATAAGTTACTTCCAAGAAGTAAAAATAATAAGATTAAAAATGTTGACATTATGGAAATTTTTATAAGAGAACAAATCAAAGAGCCACTTTGTGACGATCAAAATTGGTTAAATTATAAATGCTATTATGATGTGAAGAAAGATACCAGTTGTGAGGTGGGAGAGGAAAAAGTCATTTATTTCGATTGTAAGGAATTTTTAGAAATACTTCAAAAAATTAATCCTGTTTGCTGTGATTCTCTAATCATTCATGTCCCAAAGAACAGGGTTCTCAAAAGGATTTGAATTTAGGTGTCCATTTCATGATATATTCCAGTGCTGTCAAGTAGCCAATATTACTGCACTGTGGTTGCAGGTTTTGAGAGCCCTGAAGACATGTTACAACATAATTTTATGAGTTGCTTTATAACAACAACAAAGTTTTTGTCTGCTGTCTGTTATCATATAAAGAGACAATGTTGCATGTTTGTTTTATTGTTAACCTTGCTTTGGCTCATTCAACAGTCTGTTTGTTGTTTTTTTGGGGTCGATGTGAAAAGATTAACAATATTGGGTGGTTAATATACAATGTATCGTCATCAAATCTAGTTCTATATTCTTTTGGTTAAATTGGGACTTTAATCAGTCACAACTATTGTCTGATTTGAAGTTATTCTGGTCCTGGAATGTTACGAAGAGATAAGATTAATCTTTAAGCATTGAATGTTTTATCAATTTTACTGCATTTGAAATTGTGATAAAAAATGTGTTGGGAAACAAGAAAGTCAAGCATAAAAATCAATATGTTCATGGCCCAAAAAAAGTATTCAATTATAACAAAGTACATGTACGAGTTTCAAAAAAATGTTATTTAACTCTGAAATCTGATTGATTTTTGTTTGTGGGTATAAATACATATAAATGCTTGTGAAGTCAACTCAAATTACCAGGTAATTTTTCTGGATTATTGCCATATAATGTGTACTTCTTTGTATTGCATGATTTAAGAAATCCAATCATTACATGTTAATGAGATAATAAAAGCCCAACTATTCATAAAATATTACAATTTATTCAACCATTTATGATAAATCTTTGAAAATTTAATAAGGTGTGTTATTTATTTGACAAAAAATAAGTATTTTGAGGGTCTAAATCAAAACAAGTTTGGTTTTGATAAACACGATGATGAACACCAAATACATTACATTGTCCATCGCATAGGCAGATCCAGGGGGCCCTGGGGGGCCCGGGCCCCCCCTTTTGTGGGAAAAATTTGGTTGATTATATAGGGAATCACTGAAGCATGACTGGAGCGGGGCCCCCCTTCTGTCAGTCAGTGGGCCCCCTTATAAAAAGTTCTGGATCCGCCACTGCATCGTCCTGAACATGCATGAAATATTTGCCATTGGACATTAAGCAACCAATGATCAATCAATCAATCAATCAATACATTGTCTTTCATTCATATAGTCCTTCATTTAAAGAGTGGAAATGTCAGGAGTGTGCCAGCAAATGAAGTTAATTTTTTCCAGGTATGGGGTAAAATTTTATGGGTTCAGAACTTCATATAGATTTGTATGTATTAAGTCCCAGACTAGAATTAGTTCATTATTAGTGTTTTTTTTTTATCAATTTTTAAAATGAACTGTAAATTTACCTGAAGTAAAAATATATCGACTCTTTTTTCAAAAAATATATCTATATATGGCAATTTTGTTTAAATGACATTAAGATTGTGACACTGCTGAAAGCTATAACAAAAAAGATATGACTATAAGATCTTAAGATTCATCTGACATCTCAATGCTCCCAATACTGTGATCTGGCTGAAGTCAGAGGTAAATCAGACATTAACAAAAGAAGTCTTGAATCTATCACAACTTGCATGTTCAGTAGGGTATCATTATACATTGTACTCTTTTCCATTCCATCATGTCTTTTTTTCCGACAATTTGCTAATACTGTATTAAAATAAACTTATTTTAACAAATGAATTATTTATTAAATTTTCAATAGTAGAAAAAAGATGCAAAATTATGACACACATTTTAAAAAACCTAAAAATAAACTCTGAAAGTAAATGGCTTGAAAAGCTTTACAGCAAAAAAAAATATATCTGTAAAAATTTAGAATTTTGAATCCACCTGAGTGATTAACCTGGTTTTATTGTTTAAACAATTGGAATGTTACAACCTGAAGTTTGGAAATTCAGATGAAATATTTTTGTAATTTCTTAGAAATAAACTCCAACAAACAGAAATGTACAGGCACCTCCATTAATTATTGCTAACATAAAAATATAATGAAACTAATTAATGTATTAACCTGCAAAACAATGTATTTTAGATACGAAAAACAACAGATTTGACTTGTTTATAATGCATGTCTTCTCAGTACAATTAACACATGCTTAAATTGAATGATATGGGAGTGAATAAATTAAAGCCCCACCAATAGGTTTACAATTCAGGACAATAAAACACAAAACGTAGTACAATCATATTATTCAAAAACAGTCCATTGTAACTCTATAGTTTCCGCCCACACTCTACAAAAATCCATTACAGTTTGAAAAATAGGTGTGTTGAAGATCTTTTAAATGATTACTGATGATAACTTTATGTAAACTACAACAACTCTTTATCCAGCTGAATGATAAATAGATAAACTGTTTACTAGAACTTAAGATTATACCAATTTATAGCTCTAAATTCCTTGCATTAATTGTAGTTTTTTGCTCCTTGTTGAAATTCATCAAGATGTTCAAAACCTTCTAGCTTAATCATAATGTTCAACTGAACCAGATAAAAATAATATTTGATGAGAAATATTGTATAAATGCATTTCATTTTGATCAAATAAAAAGAATTATGTTCAGATGGTATCATTAGTTCTAATTAGATTTGATTTATTCTCTGAAACCATGAGGCCAAATTGCTTGGAATTTTATGGGAATGATTTCGGTTATTTTTATGCCTCCGCCGAGGCGGAGGGGGCATTAAGTTTTACCCTTGTCCGTCTGTATGTACGTACGAACCAAAATTGGTTTCCGTTCTCTAACTTGAGTTTGCCTTAACCAAATGTTATGAAACTTATACACAATGCTTATTACCACAAAACACAGATTAAGTTTGAATTTTGGTGGCGTCACTTTAACCGTTCTAGAGTTATGCCCCTTTATAAATGGAAAAATTGCAAAATTTTTCGTTTCTGTTCTCTAACTTTAGTTTGTCTCAACCAAATGTTATAAAACTTATACACAACTGTTCTAGTGTTATGCATGTTTACAAATAGAAAAATTGCTGAATTTTTAGTTTGTGTTCTCTACTTAAGTTAGCCTCAACCAAATGTTATGAGACTTACACACAATGCTTATTACAACAAAACTCAGATCAAGTTCAAATTTGGGTAGCGTCACTTTTACTGTTCTTCAGTTATGTCCCTTTATAACTATATGATATGCAAGCGGGGGCATCATCTGTGTCCACATGTGGACACTATCCACATTTATTCCTTACTTTATTAATTTTTTTTTGAGCTGATCTATTTTCGATATGTCAAATTCTGACTAGTGGGACAATAAAATCTTCTGTTAGATGTAATAACCAGGTTTTTTTAATAAATGAATAGGGATATACATGTACTTTTCTGCAGAATGTGAAGAATCAGTAAGGCCATACCCATCATAAAATTTGCATTATTCTGTTTGAAAATATTCCTCTGAATATGAAATGACTGTATTGGTGGTGTAAGTCATATCATGCTGTACTAGGTGTATGCCATAATTAATAGTATATATAGTAACTACATTGTTGAATTGGTAATTAAATGTTATTTAAAACTATGCATTCAAAAAACTTTTGGCATTGAGTTTTGTATATGTTTGTTTTAGATCATTATTAAAAAACAATAGATTCTCATCCTTACCTCCCACAAATTGTTTTGACTTTTTATACGCCCGTTTACGGGACGTATTATGGTATACCATTGTCTGTCCGTCTGTACGTCCGTCGTCAACATGTCGGACATCTACTCAAAAAACTTTGGTGAATTGTTTATATCTATTGAAGTGAGCTCCCTTTCGTTTTTTATAAATTTTAGATTTTACATTTCCGAGTTATGGGGTTTATTCATTAAAAAAAGGGGGATTTTCCAGTTTTCTCAAGAATGCTTTCACCAACTTGCAAGAAATTGTGGTGAATTGGTTATATCTATTGACATGAGCTCCCTTTCGATTTTTATATATTTTAGATTTTACATTTCCGAGTTACAGGGTTTTATTCATAAAAAAAGGGGGATTTTCCAGTTTTCGGACAAAAAATCAAAAATGCTTTCAGCAGTTCTTATGAAACTTTGGTGAATTGTTTATATCTACTGATGTAAGCTCTGTTTAGAATTTTATAAATTTTTCATTTATCATTTTTGAGTAATGGGGTTTTATTCATTAAAAAAGGGGGGATTTTCCAGTTTTCGGACAATAACTCAAAAATGCTGTCAGCAATTCTCATGAAACTTTGGTGAATTGTTTATATCTATTGATGTAAGCTCCCTTTACATTTTCATAAATTTCTAATATGACATTGAGAATTAATTGAACTTTATTTGTTTATAGTCTGACAACAGATTTACTAAGTATTGCGCAACTGCACAGTGTATTGCACAACAGCAAGAAATCTTTAATTTAATATAAATTCAATTCATATAACCAATTTCAAGTTCTTTGACTACATTTATTCAGAAACCTATAATATGTCAAATATTTAGTTACAATCCAAATTCAGACCTGTATCAAGCTTGAATATTGTGTCCATTTTTGCCCCAACTGTTCAGGGTTGGACCTCTGCGGGCGTATCCAGCTGCGCTCAGCGAAGCAGTTTATTTATAATGCTAGAAATTTTCACTAACTATGGCAAGAAAATAAATAATATAGTTTGCCTTAAGCTCCCCAATTTTTTTTTTTTAACAAAAAGTGGGATTAGAATCTAGATTTTTTTTTATTACGGCCTTCATTAAGTAACTTTTAGTTTACTTAACGTTATTCTCTCAAGTTTAAGATAAAATAACCAGTGACCTCAATTTACTTAATTTTGGGGAATATTTAGTCAAAGCTATCCTTTTTATTTCTATTTTATTATTCATATAAGCCTTATATACAACTATGGTGTAGGGAAAAGCTTGAAAAACAAGTTTGGCAAAAACTGTTTTTATTTTGATTTTTAAACTTTTGTACATGAATGTGTAAACTACACTTTAGTCCCTTACTACCCTAAGGAATGGGATATATATAGAAATGTTTTTTGTAGCAGCATGCTCAAAGTTACGCTATAAAACACTGCTATTGTAACTACCTTATTCAATGATCTCCATAGAGAATTACTTTTTGTATGAATAGTTTTCATCAGATGAATATGTACAATTCATTTCCACATGCATTGATTAAGGATTAGTAATTTTCATGAACTAAAATATGTTTATGTTTTTTTATTTGAGTATTCAGATATTTGCTGGAACAATTTAAAAATTTTGTTTGAATTTGATATTAAGTACTTCTTACCTATTTATACAAAAATTGTTAATTTATTTGTAAATTACTAAATTATAAATTAATTACACGAGTGGGATTTTTTACACTTTTTCTGTGTAAGTTGCTGAAAAGTCAGTGATGCTCAAAGCAAAAAGCTTTAAAAATCAAAAACTCATATACAAATGTTGAAGAGCTTATAAACCAAAAATATATATAGGTATAGCGAAATTGGAACAGTTCTAAGGGATGAAATTTAAGCAATTTGAAAAAGGAAACAAACACATATCATTTATATATTGCAACTGTGATGTTTTAAGCATTTGCTTAATTTTATATGCAATTAGTTCATTTATGCATAGAGTAAATTAAGGATGTTTTATCATGACATTTTTTAGTTCGTCCTTCTCCAGTGAAAAGTTTTCACTGCCTTGTGTACAACTGGTTCAATATGACATGTTGGTTTGATCTTGGAGTAGTGTACCGAGGATGGAACCTTCTAGGTTATACAATGGTTGATGTAAAAGTCAAATATGGCATCCTGTAAGTAAATATAATCATCCTTTAGACCCTCTTTGTATACAGAATTTTCACAGATATATCCATTTGGATAGATGTTCATAATGAGACAAAAGTTATGAAAAACAATATCCAGGAAAGTAAGACAAAACCATATGCAAAAAATGCACAAATAAAAACTTTTAAATTATAACTTCAGTAGTGATTTTCTTTCACAAAATTTTTCAAATCTCATTACCGGTAATTAGATCTAGTATTTTTAGCGCACCTGGCCCAAAGGGCCAAGTGAGCTTTTCTCATCACTTGGCGTCCGTCATCCGTCCGTCCGTCATAGTCGTCCGTCGTCGTTTGCTTTTTACAAAAATCTTCTCCTCTGAAACAACTGGGCCAAATTTAACCAAACTTGGCCACAATCATCATTAGGGTATCTAGTTTAAAAAAATATGTCCGACAACCCCGCCAACCAACCAAGATGGCCGATATGGCTAAAAATAGAACATAGGGGTAAAATGTAGATTTTGGCTTATATCTCTGAAACCAAAGCATTGAGAGTAAATCTGACTTCTGAAATTTTCAGACAAATCTGACAACCTGTTGTTGGGTTGCTTCCCCTGAATTGGTAATTTTAAGGAAATTTTGCAGTTTTTGGTTGTCTTAAATATTATTATAGATAGAGATAAACTGTAAACAGCAATAATGTTGAGCAAAGTAAGATCTACAAATAAGTTGTCATGACCAAAATTGTCAGTCGACCCCTTTAGGAGTTATTGCCCTTAATAGTCAATTTTTAACAATTTTTCGTAAATTTTTGTAATATTTTACAAAAATATTCCTCTCTGAAACTACTGAGACAAATTTAACCATACTTGGCCATAATCATTATTAGGGTATCTAGTTTAAAAAATTTGTCCGATGACCCCACCTTCCAACCAACTTGGTTAAAAATAGAACATAGGGGTAAAATGCAGTATTTGGTTTATATCTCTGAAACTAAAGCATTTAGAGCAAATCTGACAGGTGGCAAAAATGTTCATCAGATTTAGATTAATCTGCCCTGAAATTTTCAGACGAATCCGACAACCCATTGTTGGGTTGATGCCCCTGAGTTAGTAATTTTACAAAAATTTTGCAGTTTTTTGTTATTATCTTAGATATTATTATAATATCTAATATCTAATACTATTAATTATGATTTTAACCTTATTTTACATGATTTCCAAAGCATCAGTAAATACAGGTGAGCGACACAGGCTCTTGAGAGCCTCTAGTTACCAGTAATTAGTGATTTGCAATAATAACTGCACACATTAGTTTAAATTCTGAATTTACAGTACTCAGCATCCTCATACCCGTAGCCAAAGGGGGTTTGCGAGGTTCCAGCAATCCCCTCTGGTAGTTAAGACTTTTAAAATAAATATTCAATGATAGAAGACAATAAAGTAAAGCTTTGTCTGACTATTAAACAAATTATACATACACATAAATTTCCACAATGATCATATGATATGCAAAAGGTCAGGATTTTCCTCAGAGTTTAAGATTATAGTATTTTCTTGCTGTTGGTCAGATTGATTGATTGATGATTGACAGATTTTTGGTGGTTAACACCACTTTATGAACTATTGGCTAATTTGTGGCGTCCAGTTTTTATTGGTGGTGGAAGCCAGAGAGGGTCCGGAGAGAACCATGACTTTAAACAGGAAAACTAGCAATTCTAGTCTATTAAGATTAGAGTTTAAAGCACCTGGCAGGTGTGGGGTTCGAACTCACAACCTCAGTGTTGACTGGCTAATGATACAGTAGATGAACTACTTAGACCACTCGGTTGCCAAGGCTGGCCTGCTGTTGGTCAGATGGATTTATAGATACAGGTTTTTAAAGATCGATGAAATAGTGATCATTATCTGAGTCTTATTGTTTTGTATTAACTAATTAACTATGTACATGTATAAGGTTGGCACTTTTCTGTTTTTAAACTTTTGAACTATATTATTTTAGTTCATTTCTTCATGATTTTTGTTTCAGAGGAATGGCAAAAGAACTTGACCAGCAGTACAAAGAAAGAAATGGCACTTGTTTAAAAATCAGTATTCCACGAAAAATATTTATGGGTCTCATGAGTACTGAAATTGATATTGAAATTGATATTAATATTACAAATGAGGCACGGAAAGTTTCTAACATAAGCATATTTGAGTTTAACCCGAGAACTTTTGGTAGGTAAAAACTTGAAGGCAATTAATTTAAGTTACAGTAACATACACACAAAAGCAATATTAATGACTCAATATAATCTGACAAAAATATGGCAGTCACTAACAAAAAAAAAGAATTTAATTCTAAGACCTGGAAAAAACTCCATTTAGTTAGCTTAGGTTCAACAATGAGGCAATTAACCATTATAGATTGTTGGACATAATCTGAGAGATGTTGATTTTTAATCAATTATATTTCATTATTAAGTCTCCCTAACGAAGTTTGGGAAGACTTATTGGTTTTGCTCAGTTCTTATTATTCTTCTTCTTCTTCTTCTTCTTCTTCCGCCGCTTTTAAATTTGAACTTGTCCGCACCCGTTCTCCAAAACCGCTTGTCAGATTAACTTAGGGTTTCACAATATGTTAGACTAACATGTCTAGTGCAATCAGGGTTTTGTTTGTGCAATAGGGTTTATAAAGGGGTACTTTGAGGGGCAAAAAGAAAGGAGGTTTTTACTATAGAACCGTATGGGATTTTTTTTTTTAAATTTTCAAATGATTATAAATTGAAAACCGTTTGTGATAGACACAATCTTTTTAATTGAAAATGTTCTGAATGATAAAGCACATTAAATGAAATACAGGGTTAGTCCCCAGGGGTCACCCCCACCCCCTGCCATTTAAAAAAGTTCTAATATCTTGTAAATGGTCGAGATCCCCACTCCTAAACCATATATATTCTGGTTTGTCATGCTAAGATGGTTTGAATAATATACAGGGTTAGTCCCCAGGGGTCATCCTGACCCCCTGCCATTTGAGAAAGTTCTAATATCTTGTAAATGGTCGAGATCCCCACCCCTAAACCATATATATTCTGGTTTGTCATGCTAAGATGTTTTGAATGATATACAGGGTTAGTCCCCAGAGACATCCTGACACCCTGCCTTTTGAGAAAGTTCTAATATCTTGTAAATGGTCGAGATCCCCACCCCTAAACCATATATATTCTGGTTTGTCATGATAAAGCACGTCAAATGAAATACAGGGTTAGTCCCCAGGGGTCACCCCCACCCCCTGCCATTTAGGAAAGTTATAATATCTTGTAAGTGGTCAAGATCCCCACCCCTAAACCATATATATTCTGGTTTGTCATACAAAGATGGTTTGAATGATATACAGGGTTAGTCCCCAGGGGTCATCCCGACCCCCTGCCATTTGAGAAAGTTCTAATATCTTGTAAATGGTCGAGATCCCCATCCCTAAACCATATATATTACTGTTCATCATGTCTAGAACATTTGAATGACATATACGGTCAGTCCCCAGGGGTTCCCCTACCCCCAATGTTCTAATATCTTGTAAATGGTTGAGATCCCCACCCTTAAACCATATATATTCCTGTTCGTCATGTCTCAGAACATTTGAATGACCTATAGGGTCAGTCCCCAGGGGTTCCCCCCACCCCCAATGTTCTAGTATCTTGTAAATGGTCGAGATCCCCACCCCTAAACCATATATATTCTGGTTTGTCATGCCAAGATGATTTGAATGATATACAGGGTTAGTCCCCAGGCATCACTAATGCATATAACTTTACTGGACTTTGTCCAGTGTCAGGCGACCCTGGGAATTACGAATTAAGGGAGCTTCGTTTGGGAGACTTCGTAACAGCATCCTGTTACAATCATTTCTTGTTTAAAATTTGTTGAACCTTTTTTTTTTTTAATAATTGAAAAAAAAAGAAATCAAAAATGTTTTTGACATGTTCTTTGTCATTTATTTTTGTGTAGTTAAATTACAATGTCCAGATAAACATAAACCAAGGAATATAACTAAAAAGAAAAAATTGACAGAATCCAGGGTTAGCTTCAAATTCATCTTCATTAAACGACAATGATCCCGAAAGAATATTTAAGGCTGCTAATAGTTGAAAAATACATCTGTAATTGTTCAGGTGACTACTAAACATGTAAAATTAATATTTCTCTTACAGTTAAACCAGCTAGTATTGAAAACTTGAAATATGAAAGGAATGCAACTACCATCAAACTTACGTGGAACCATAGTAACTCACAGATGTCCAAGAAATTCCGAATTCAATACAGCTCTGAATATGATCCAAAGGGGAGTTGGATGGTAAGACATCATGCCTTGATATAGTTCTGTATTAGTGTGTCTCTGTTTAAGTATTTTGTCATACAGTTATTTCATGTTTCAATATTTAAGCACATTGTTCCGAATAGTTTCATATCTCACCTATTGAGTGAAATTATTTATATATATAAAATAAGGCTCAGAAATAAGTGCTTTTTTAAATGTTATGTAATAAAAATATCAGTAAGTTTGTATGTTTGTATATTTTTAGCAGAAGGAATATGTTCAAATATTTCCGAGATCGGTAGGCAGCATGATATATTGTTTACTAGGGTCACACTGTAATTCCTTTGTTATGTTGCTGTTTGTTTTCTTGAGTTGCTTGATTTTTGTTACCATACACCCCATATTATGATATTTTGGTTTGGGGATTTTTAGTACCACCTTGTGATTCCTTTGTTTTGTAATTATTTATATTTATGTGTCTATTATGCATTTGTCTGTGATATTTGTTTGTTTCTTGAATGAAATTAAGCTGTTCGAGATGGCCTGCACCAAATAAACTTGCTATTTTTGCTTGCAAGTATCATCTGATTTTTTTGCAGTTTTATATTTATTTACCCTGACTCATTTTCACCCTAGAATTACTCAAAATAACACTGATGGTATTTCAGAGAAATTTTATACACTGTAAATTCAGAAATTTTTGCAACGTTTTTATTATTGTTTATATTGTTACTCAGATAGGGACTGGAAATGTGTTGCAAAAACAAAAAAAACTTGCATTGTCAATTTTGCTAGCAGTATGTGTTCATATGCAGTATTTCCTGAAATTGCTATGACTTATTTCACACTTTAGTACATAATTTAACAAAAAAAGAGGCGTAATGAAAGGGATATTCAAACTCAAGTTGAAAAAATGAGCTGACAATGCCATGGCAAAAAGCAAAAAAAAACAAAAATCGACCATTAGACAAACAACCGTGTACAAAACACTACATAGAAAACTAAAGACTGAACAATTCAAACTCCACCAACAACCGGTGGATATCTCAGGTGCTACTGAATGGGTAAGCACATCCTGTTCCACATTTGGCACCTGTTTAACAATCCATAAAATAAATGCACACACAAAATTCTGAAATTACAGTATCTACCACAGAAGTATGTACTTGTAGTATCCACATCTAGTCCTAAACTAAAAACTAGATTTAAAGAAACTTTCAGTGGACCTTTCTTTTTATATAATACCAATAAGCGAATCATATATTTGATTTTTTTTTATCTTATTCTTTTTGGCCTTTAAAACTCCTACAGCAATGCATGGTCTTTTCCATATCTATACAAATGATGGATCAGGGCTGTATTTTTGAGCTTATTTAGTGCTCACAGTTTTTGTAGTTTGATTTATAATTTGATTGGTATTGTACCATGAATTTAAATGGAATTTGAGTTTTTTTGTTGATGAATTTTGGAAGATGTCCTAGTTTATAAAATCTTTTCATGTTGCTATAATTGTTGTTGTTATTTTATGATAAATTTATACAGCAGAAATATAGTAAACTAGCTTTGCCTGCGTCATTATTAGTCCCCTACTGACGAAGTCCATGGGGACTTTAGGTTTGCACTCCATCCGTCTGTCTGTCTGTCTGTCTGTCTGTCTGTCTGTCTGTCTGTCTGTCAGTCCGGCAAATCAGTTTTCCACACTTTTTTTCTTCATGCTTGAAGATATTGATTTGATATTTGGTGTATTGTTTTATCATGACAAGTTACAGATCAAGTTGAATTTTGTTTTGGTCTGACGATTTTGTGTAGAGTTATGGTCCTTGAACTTGGAAAATTCACTCAAATAATCAGTTTTCCACACGTTTTTTTTTTTACATGCTTGAAGATATTGATTTGATGATTGGTATATAGTTTTATCATGACAATTTACAGATCAAGTTCGAATTTTGGTCCGGTCTAATGATTTTGTGGAGTTATGGTCCTTCGACATAGAAAATTCCCTCAAATAATCAGTTTTCCTCACTTTTTTTCGTCATGCTTGAAGATATTGACTTGATATTTGTTATATAGTTTACACCATGACAAGTTATGGATCAAGTTAGCATTTTGTTCCAGTACAATGAATTTTTAACCGGTAGGGGACTATGTATTGCCAGGCAATACTCACAGAATGCATGTTTCATTTTAGTTTCTGCATAAAATTGTGTAAAATATGTGTTTCAAATCTTAGACTTAATATATTGTGTCATAATAAGCTGGTTATTGATTTTAGTAATTATTATATTGGCAGACAGAGATATTACCATACAGAATGCCTAGTATAAGAAATAGATTTAATAATACATTACATAAAGTAAGAACGAAGCTGTTTAATTTTGCCTTAAACTGTTCAAATATCCCAAACACCATTGTTCGTAAACAAACATTGAATTATATCTATGGCAACATGTATATGTTCCTCCAAACAGAAGCTCTTCTGGAATAATTAAATTTGTTATATGCAATTCTATGATATCTGTTCCTGTTGAAACAATTATTCTATACCCTAGCCTTTAATTTGTCAGGAACAATTATAGTAATATGTCTTTTAGTGGAAGTAATATTCCAGAATATTTCTGCCCTTTGGAACTAATATTATAAAGGAACATCTATTTCATAAGATATACACATAGGGATCACTAATAGATATGCAAAATTTATTATTCCATGACTCATCTGCTATAAATCATTTCATATCCTGATTAAAATATCTTTAATAATGCCCAATCTGAAAAACATATCCTAAACCATGCCAAATTCTGATTCACTGATCCTTGACCATACCTAGTCATGAATCATCTACCATTAAGAACATGACAAACCCTGATTCACTGATCCTTAACCATACCTAGTCACGAATCACCTACCATTAAGAACATGCCAAAACCTGATTCACTGATCCTTATTCATGCCTAGTCCTGAATTACCTACCATTTAGAACATGCCAAATCCTGATTCAGTGATCCTTAACCATACCTATTCCGGAATCACCTACCATTAAGAATATGCTAAATCCTGATTCACTGATTCTCAACCATGCCTAGTCCTGAATCATTTACCATTAAGAACATGCCAAATCCTGATTCACTATTCCTTAACCATACCTAGTCCTAAATCATCTACCATTAAGAACATGCCAAATCATGATTCACTGATCCTTAACCATGCCTAGTCCTGAATCATCTACCATTAACCTGTCAAATCCTGATTTACTGAACCTTAACCATGCCTAGTCCTGAATCATCTACCATTAAGAACATGCCAAATCATGATTCACTGAACCTAATCCATACCTAGTCATGAATCATCTACCATTAAGAACATGCCAAATCATGATTCACTGATCCTTAACCATGCTTAGTCCTGAATCATCTACCATTAACCTGCCAAATCCTGATTCACTGATCCTTGACCATACCTAGTCATGAATCATCTACCATTAAGAACATGCCAAATCATGATTCACTGAACCTTAACCATACCTAGTCATGAATCATCTACCATTAAGAACATGCCAAATCATGATTCACTGATCCTTAACCATGCCTAGTCCTGAATCATCTACCATTAACCTGCCAAATCCTGATTCACTGAACCTTAACCATGCCTAGTCATGAATCATCTACCATTAAGAACATGCCAAATCATGATTCACTGATCCTTAACCATACCTAGTCATGAATCATCTACCATTAAGAACATGCATATAATTACCAATACCCAATCCCGATTTATATATGTTGTTAGCAGGTTAAGGGTTACAGAACACCTAAGGGAGTTAACTCTTTACAAATCAGCTGAACGTTTTAATCAGATACTATTAGTAAAGAGAAATCAAAGTTTCGTAATGATCAAAATTAGTGTTTGTCAAGCTGCTATATATTCAATGAAATTGTTCCTTTAAATTGTGTGGTTCAAATTTCTTGTGAAAATTAAACGAGCCAAATATAGTCAAAGTGTTGGATATCCCCTTTTGATGTGGTTTCCAGAATTATGGATCATTGAATTCATGTCTCCTGTTTGACAAAGAGAGACTATGTTTCAGAAATACCAATATTTCTTCTTCTGATGATGAACTGCCTTAGTGGTCTCCTTGTAGTGTGCTCATCTGGATTAGGTTGTGTGTTTCCTGCCCTTGTTTGAAAATTGTGATTGGCTGCCTTTCTCCTAAGCAAATGTCAGTTTGGAGTAAGAGCAAAGATTGATTGCTCAAAGTCCCAATAATGGGTCCAGGTAGGGTGGAATGTTTTCCTCCAGACTGTTCCCTTGTGAAAAGCACCTTAAAAATCAATCTCAGCATGATGGTTTCAGCAGGGTTTATGTTCATAATGCATTCACATGAACTTGTCCTGTATATGAATCAATTTGCAGCTAAACATTTAACACACATCCGTCATAGTAAGTAGTTAAGTAAGAAATACTTCCTAGGTCAAAGGTCAAGGTCAAAAACTTTGGTTTCAGTTGACAACCCCATGTCCAATGATAAAGATACAAATTTTTACCATACATTATTCACAGCGGGGCCCACAGAGATGGCTACCATATCAATGGTATCTAGTTCCTCATCTTCTTCTGTTTCTTGTTCTCATACAACTTTGTTTGGGTCAAAGCTATCTGGTCTATCTTTTTAAATTGACATTGACTTAAATGATATTTTGAATAAAAGTGTTATACCATAAGATAATGTTTCCTATAGCATCATATGATCTTGACCTTTGACCTCATTGTAAAAAAAAAAATTTGTGGGAAATTTATTTGTCGAAATCATAACAGTTATATCCTTTGATAGAAGCTTTAGATATTTGACACATGGGTGCAACATCACGTACCTTATGTCATATACCATTAAAAATGAAATTTGACCTTATTCTTCAAAATTGACCTAAATATCTATTAATTAATGTTTTAGAAAGATTAGATTTTGTCTACTCAAAACAGTAGAAAAGAGGCAAATTAAGATTCCAAAGGGACATTCAAACTCATAAGTCGAAAATAAACTGATAACGCCATTGCAAAAAAAGAAAAAGACCAAAAGACAAACAACAGTTCAACTGTGTACAAAACACAACATATAAATTTTTGTTTGCCATGGCAAGACCTTTCCAGTACACCATAGGGTTTGCCTCCAGGTGTCATGGCCCACCCCCCTTGTATAATAAATTGTTACTGTAAACATTTCAAAAAAGGTTGAGATCCCCACTCCTAAACTGTAGATATAAGTACACTGAATTGAAATGATAAAATCTTTCAAGTGAACCATACCGTTTTTTCCCAGTGGTCATGGCCCAATGCCTTCATATTCTTAATTGATAAATATCTTGAAAACTTGGAAATTTTATTATGTTTGGAATTTGAACAGTTTAGTTAAAAAAATAACACCATTGACAAAAACTATTGTGTTACCATGTTTGTAATGTCCAGTCTAAAAACATTAATTGCTGTTTGATTGATTTATACAAAGTTTTAATATAAGTTGTTGTAATAGAGTACATATGTTGGCTTTTTGAATGCATGGGTGGCAGGGAAACATTGTGATTTAATGCAATTGTAGGTTTCAACATGATTTAGATTGAATTTTTATGCAGGCAATTTTATGTTAATTTCATATGAACACAGGATTACATTTTTATTCAAGAATTCAACCAAATTTTAAAAATACCTACCTGGTAAAGTTAATGTAAAATTTATTAATTTCACATGAAAAATTTTCCAAAACTTTTGATGTTTCATAACTTTTAGTTGTATGTATTTGATCTGCCAAAAACACACTTAAGAATTTTTATCCAAATAATCATGTGAATTGCACATGTAAACTTTCATGACTTTCAAATGAAATTCAATTAAAATAATTACATTTGAAAGAAAACAATTTGAATTTACATGAAATTGAATTAATTTAATTTAAGCAAAATTTGCCTGTGTAAAGTGTATGCTTAGATTGAATTACCACTAAGCTTTAATTTTGTACAGGAAACACTAAATGAATTAGAATTAAACTTGACAGATATAAACTTTTACATCTTCTTAATGAGCTTGGATATATAGCCCTTAGTTTAACACTTATCCAACCAGTCATTACTTCTGTTTAGAATGTTTTGTTAAACTATACATGTTTTGTGTTCTGTTCATTCGGCTTTGATACAATAAGAAAATTGTATGGTCTTCCTAAAAAATTGGGTCAAATTTGTTGTATAAAAACTCTGCTGACTTTCAAAATGTAATTCTTTTCTGCTCTTTTTTTCAATTATGCAGATGAATCATATTTCTTTTCATTTAATGCTTTTGATGGATGCAAATGTATACAATTTTTTCTTCAACTTTGTTAAAACCAAAGTTGGTTTTATAAAAGCAGTGCTGCCTTCAATATTCTTGCAAATAGCTTAAAAAATTCAGGGAGGAATATATATATTCCTATCTGCTTTATTAAGCAGTTTGTACATCCTTTTTATACACCCGTCAAAATTTTGACGAGACGTATTATGGTATACAAAGGTCCGGCGTCTGTCTGTCCGGCGTCCACATGTCGCACCGTATCTCAAAAACGATTTATGATTATTGCTTAAAACTTTACACACTTCTTAATTATATTAATCTAAAGATCTGTATACTTTTTGGTGATGATTCAAAATTTTATTTTTTTATTTTAGAGTTATTGATTTTTTTTTTTTTAAAAAGGGGGGTTTTCACATATCGCGCTGTATCCCAGAAAGGATTTGATTATTACATAAAACCTCACACACAAGACGACGGGTGTATCATGCGCTCGTGGCGCAGCTGTTTATTTTGTAATTATATAATTGAGTCATATTTCCATTTTATTCACTGTAATTATATTCCAGGATGTATATTTTTAATTAGTCATTAGAATCTGATAAACACAAATTTGGACACCTATGAAGCAAATCCTTTTTATTCAGTAGTTTTGTTGTACATTTTTGGCTTGCTATTTTAATATGAAAACAAAAGTTGAAACCTGTGTTTACCATCAATGAAGGTTAAAATTCAACTATGTGAAGAAGAATTAAAAAAGCTTTCAAAAGGCTATAGCTATTTAATAACATCATTTCTTATCCTGCAAACAGCGCTAATTTCTACTAAAAATGAAAAGTGCTATAAATGTTTGCAGGATGCATTTTGATCGATTGTGGGTTGCTTATCATCCAGTGGCAAATATTTCATGCATGTTCAGGACAAGGATGCATTTTGTATACTTCATCTAAATTAGCTCTAATTATGATGTTACATCAATTTTTGTCGAGCCTTCGACTTTAGTCGAAAAAGCGAGACATAGCGATCCTACATTCCGTCGGCGTCGTCGTTGTCGTCGGCGGCGTCCACAAATATTCACTCTGTGGTTAAAGTTTTTGAAATTTTAATAACTTTCTTAAACTATCCTGGATTTCTACCAAACTTGGACAGAAGCTTGTTTATGATCATAAGACAGTATCCAGAAGTAAATTTTGTTAAAAATAAAATTCCTGTTTTTCCGTATTTTACTTGTAAATGGACTTAGTTTTTCTGCCAGGAAACATTACATTCACTCTGTGGTTAAAGTTTTTAAAATATTAATAACTTTCTTAAACTTTCCTGGATTTGTACCAAACTTGGACAGAAGCTTGTTTATGATCATAAGATAATATCCAGAAGTAAATTTGTTAAAATAAAAATTTCATTTTTTCCGTATTTTACTTATAAATGGACTTAGTTTTTCTGCCAGGAAACAATACATTCACTCTGTGGTTAAAGTTTTTAAAATTTTAATAACTTTCTTAAACTATCCTGGATTTGTACCAAATTTTGGACAGAAGCTTGTTTATGATCAAAAGCTAGTATCTAGAAGGAAATTTTGTTAAAATTTGTACCTGTTTATCCGTATTTTACTTATAAATGGACTTAGTTTTTCTTCCAGTTGACATTAAATACAGTTCGTAGTTAAAGTTTTTAAAACATTTATTAGATTCATAAACTATCCTGGATTTATACCAAACTTGGACAGAAGCTTCTTACAATCAAAAGATAGTATCTAAAGGAATATTTTTATTGATTTTTTTCCTCATTTTTGTTGAGCCTGCAATTAACAGCAAAAGTAGGCGAGACACTGGGTTCCGCGGAACCCTTACGAATTTTTGCTTGTACCTTTTACAAGTTAGTTGTAACTGTAGTTTTGTGTCATTTGGGACAAAGCCATAGTCAAGATAAACAAAAAATCTTTTATTTAAGTGTTAGTAGAAATTATTTAGGCTTTGACAGTAAAAAAACTTCTGTAAAATATCTATTATATCAACCATATTTTGTAGATTCAGAACTGAATTTACTGTTATCAAAAACATAGTTCAACATATATTAAAATGGTTTCTATGTTTTAAATGATAAATTATTACGTAAAATGTCAAGAAATATAAAATGATTAATAGAAGGAACTGACTTCAAAAGTATTTTGAGATCAATGCTATCCTGTTAATTTTAAAGAAGTCTACATTTTACAAAATTTAAATTTATTAATGTGAATGAATTCTGTAAGATATGGGAAATGGGTACTTTTATGTTATGATTTATATTCATATAAAGGTGTAGGCTCAAAAAAGTGTATTGTCTGCCTAACAGTAGTATTCATGTATATAATATATGTAGACTGAAAAAAAGATGGACCAGCTATTAAATATATAATTTTTGTGTGATTTCAGTTAACAGATTCTCGTACTTACAAACTGACCTTAACTAAGCTTTTGCCATATGCCTTATACAATATAACAATTGAAGTTAGACCACTTTTTGAAAACGGAACGGAAACTGGATTCTGGAGTGACAGTGTTACAACTTCTATAAGAACTGCAGAAGATGGTAATAATTTTATCAGAATAAATCAACAATTTTTTTCATGTAGATTTTCACAAAAACATGTTTAAGAGCTTTACTCACAATCAATATTCTGCAATCTGGACAAGGAGTGAAAATCCTGTAGTTGGCAGGTATGTCAGAAGAACATTTTTGACATGAAGCAAATACATTTTGAACAATTTATTCATGGTTTTTTATTGTCTTGGTAGGGCAATCTGTTTACTTTTATAGAAATAAAAAAAATTAGTTTGGCATAGAATTACTTTTGTTAAACCATTAACAATACATGTAGTTTGACAGATACTCATGGTTATATTGACAGCAACATTTTTCTAACTTGTTTACTGTTTGTTTAAACATTATTTTACATCATTAAAATGGAAATTTATATATCAACAACATATAGTTTTTTAAGAAAAATCTATGTATTAGAAATTAGAGATTGGATGATTTTAAGACAGTTTTTCGCCGATTTTATGTGCTTTCTATACAAATGTTCACCTATTTTGAAAGAATTCAATCAGTTATATTTCAGATGATAAAAGAGATAAATGCATTATTTTTTTCGATTTTCAGTTATAGTTCAACAAGCCAAAGTTGTATGCAAAATTTTACCAAAATCTGTGTCATAGCCCATTTACTGTTCCTTGACCTTTAAATTGCTTTAACATATTTTTCAGTGCCTGGTGCAGTACCAATATTATGGCCAGGCTACTTTTTACAGCTAGATAATCCAGAGAAAATTAAAATCTATTGGGAGGTATGTACTTCTTTTTTTGTATATTTTTATATACTAATATTTAGAAAATAAACAATCCTTTTTTTCCCCATTTTCCACCATTTTAGCTGTTTATATCTTGAAAAGTATAAACATCAAAAGAAATGTACACTTCAAAAATTACCAGCAAGACAAGATCTAAAAAAAGCAATAATCACAAAAATCCTGTATAGAAGCTTTATAGGAGTTATAATCCATGGTTGCAATTTTGGCTATTACCTTGAATACTTACAAAATACAAAAGTTGTATAATACTGTAAACAGAAAATATATTTGTATTCCTTAAAGCTGATGGGGTGGACAGAGGGATCCCTGATTCCCACGCCCTAAATTCTGCTTTGCCCCTTTATTCCCAAATTTGGTTATTCCCATCTCACCCTTCATAGCTAGGGTTCATAGTCTAGTTTGAACAAGTAGTATTGTTTTATTTGAATAACAATTTTGCTCATGGTATCTTTTTTGTTATATAATGTATACAAAGAATAGGATTACAAGATTGGACAGTACAACAGACTACTCTAACCACCAACACCTATAAAAGATAGACATACGAAACACAGACAAACAATAAACAGCATTATAACTGTCTTGCCTTAGTCTGCTAATGGCATACAGTGTAGTATTTATTGACAATGGCGTACAGGTCAGTAAGTATTGACAATGGCATACAAGGCAGTAAGTATTGACTACAGGGCAGTAAGTATTGATGATGGTGTACAGGGCAGTAAGTATCGACACTGGCGTACAGGGCAGTAAGTATTGACGATGGTGTAGGGCAGTAAGTATTGACAATGGCGTACAGGGCAGTAAGTATTGACAATGGCATTCAGGGCAGTAAGTATTAACAATGGTGTACAGGGCAGTAAGTATTGACAATGGCGTACAGGACAGTAAGTATTGACAATGGTGTACAGGGCAGTAAGTATTGACAATGGCATACAGGGCAGTAAGTATTGACAATGGCATACAGGGCAGTAAGTATTGACAATGGCGTACAGGGCAGTAAGTATTGACGGTGGCGTACAGGGCAGTAAGTATTGACAATGGTGTACAGGGCAGTGAGTATTGATGATGGCTAGCATACAGGGCAGTAAGTATTGACGATGGCGTACAGGGCAGTAAGTATTGACGATGGTGTACAGGGCAGTAAGTATTGAAGATGGCATACAGGGCAGTAAGTATTGACAATGGCGTACAGGGCAGTAAGTATTGACGATGGTGTACAGGGCAGTAAGTATTGACAATGGTGTACAGGGCAGTAAGTATTGATGATGGCTAGCATACAGGGCAGTAAGTATTGACGATGGCGTACAGGGCAGTAAGTATTGACAATGGCGTACAGGACAGTAAGTATTGACAATGGCGTACAGGGCAGTAAGTATTGATTGATTGGTGTTTAACGCCACATTCAACACTATTGTGCTATTTCGTGCCAGTCAGTTTTTATTGGTGGAGGAAGCGGGAGTACCCAGAGAGAACCACTGACCTTCGGTAGGAAAACTGACAATCCTAGTCAATTAAGATTGGAGTCGAGTGCACCTGCTCTGTGGGGGATTCGAACTCACAACCTCAATGGTGACAGGCTAGTGATACAGTATTTCGACTACTTAGACCACTCGGTAACCAAGGCCCCTGGCAGTAAGTCAGTACCCTACTGACTCCAGATTAAGGCAGTAAGTAAGTAGCCTTAATCTGGTGTCCTAAAAAATGAAAGGAACCAGACTGCATACAGTATTTTTAAGCCATAGGAGCAATAAATACTCCTTATCATTGATCTCATGATATGTTTGAATTTTCTTAACAGCCAATTGCTGATATAGAAAGATGTGGCATTATACAGTCATACAGAATTACATTGAAGGATATTGTTCCCTTTGGAGAGAAAGAAAATTTTACTGAAATAGAAGACATCCCACCTGAAGCTATATCATATGAAATTCAATTGGAACCACTGAAAAAATATGAAATAAAACTAACACAGAGAACCAGTGTTGGCTATCCCACTGTAGACGATGCTCATATTTATGTTTACCCACAATACATTAGTAAGTGCAATTTTTGGGTAAAAATTACATGAAATGCAATCAAATCCTTATATGGTACTGACTTTATATCTAAATCTTCCAAGGTTTATCACTTCTTTTGAGATACACAAAATATAGTGCATTGATCATAACATTCTATACATCCTATCCATGAACATTTATTGAAATTTATCAATGAAATATATGCTCAGATATTCAAGTTACAAAATGGATGTTATACTTGTCAAGAAAATTACATAACTTGTGCAAGGTGCAGGAATCTAATATCTGTTCTAAAAATATCAATGATGTCATTGTTAAAGTAATCTTTAAAATTGGAGTTATCTTCCATTGTCCATAATTGTACATGAATCAACTACAACCAATGCTTTATACAATGCAATGTTTTAATTTTACTTCCCACTGATACATTAAAGCAATCTTTGCCCTTCAGTAATTACAAGCACTTTGATTTATTTATTTTATGAAGATCAATGATAAGAAAAAAAATGTATGAGATAGTGACAGTAAATGTACAGTAAATGTCATGAAATGTCCTGATTTTAATGGAAAATAATAAAACTTGACTGTTCCCAATGGCTTTTATTGTGAATAATTAATCTTATTTATTGACTATAGAAGCCATTGGTTACAGTCAAATTTTATTATTTTTCAATCCCGTGTTACCTAGTTAATTTACTATAGAAGCCATTGGTTACAGTCAAATTTTATTATTTTTCAATCCTATGTTACCTAGTTAATTTACTATAGAAGCCATTGGTTACAGTCAAATTTTATTATTTTTCAATCCTATGTTACCTAGTTAATTTACTATAGAAGCCATTGGTTACAGTCAAATTTTATTATTTTTCAATCCCATGTTACCTAGTTAATTTACTATAGAAGCCATTGGTTACAGTCAAATTTTATTATTTTTCAATCCTATGTTACCTAGTTAATTTACTATAAAAGCCATTGGTTACAGTCAAATTTTATTATTTTTTAGGGCCCCTGTTTTATTTACTATAGAAGCCCTATTGGTTACAGTCAAATTTTGTTTTGTTAAAGACCCATGTTACCTAGTTTATTGACTATAGAAGCCATTGGTCGCATTCCAGTTTTATTATTTTTCAGGGCCCACATTACCTAGTTTGTTGACTGTAAAAGCCATTGGTCACAGTCATGTTTTATTCAAATGGAAATCAACAACTCTCAAAAATGGTTCTGGTGAATTTTCTAACTATAATTTGTCATGGTGCAAAAAGAATGGTACAACACCAGGAAATTGTTTGGTAAGAAAATTAAATAAATTCATTTGTCACCTGCATACCTTCAAGGTGAACAACCTCTATCTGAGGAAAAATATCAGAAGGAAATTTCCCATTGTTTCTATGATAATTTATCTGTCTTTTTGGATAAAATTATTATTGCTAAAATGTTTTTATGATCAACATTCATTTGAAATAAGACATTAATCAATTTATAAGCTATAGCATTCTATATTGTTACCTGCATCACCAACAGCAAAAGCTGGTCTAGTAACTGTTTCGACAGGTCTCACTAATTAGCGACAAGAAGATAATAATTTAGCGACGAGAAAATAAATTTAGCTTTAAGATATCTTAATAATGATTATTTGAAATAAATAGATATAGAAACATGCATTAAAATGTATGTGATTTTATTTTAGATATACGAGAATTTTTCATTATTTCATGATACTGAACGAAGAAAATAAACATGTGTTCATTTGTGCTAGAAAGAGTTTTTCAAGGATAATATGTTTAAATGAATATATTTACAGTTTACTGTATAAATGAATAAATCGATAATATGTCGAGTCTGCATGGTTGATATATCAAAGGTTCAAACCGAATTATAAGATAATTTAATCTTTATTTATTTCATGAAAAAGGTCCATATATATATAAATATATATATATATATATATAGGATGGGACATGGGATTGTTACAAAATGTTCAGATTGATATGATACATTAAAATAATGTAATAAATTAATTTTTACTAAAAATTCGTTATAAGACTACATAGTGGTACTAAATCTAACAAAAATTGAAACTTTATAAAACAGCAAATAATCAGTGTAATTAATTGACTTTTTCTATAAATTTTTGTTTTAATAGTATTTAAACTTTTTTGTCGCTAAATTTGTCTTCTTGTCGCTAATTTTTTCTTCTTGTCGCTAATTTATTTCTTCTTGACGCTTCTTGTCGTCTGAAATTATTCTTGTCGCTAATTAGTAAGACCGACTGTTCGACTGGCACTGTGTCTATTCTGTCTGTCCAAAAGACCTATGCTAGAAAACTGTTGTCAAAGTTTTCTCGGCTTCTATGAAAGGAAAAGATTTATTATTTGGTATGCAGCTTGATAATATTTAGTTGTAGCATGTAAGCAATTTTTAGAGACTGCAATGCAGCTACTTCCTGTTTTTCGATGGTTTGAAACTTTACAACACTCTTTGTACTCACAAAATTTTCTTTAAACTTTTCCTGGCCTCTATTGAAGCAACTAATTTTAAATGTGGTCTGGCGCTTACTAATGTTCAGTTGTACTGTTTTAGCAATTTTTATACGACCGTAAAAAAATTTTTGTGGTCGTATATTGGTATGACGTTGGCGTCGTCATTGGTTTTCGCACTCTAACTTTAGTTTAAGTGAATGGATCTCTATGAAATTTTACCACAAGGTTCAATACCACAAAAGGAAGGTTGGGATTGATTTTGGGGGTTATGGTACTAACAGTAAAGGAATTAGGGGCCAAAAAGGGGCCAAAAATAAGCATTTTTGTAACTTCCAGACATAACTTGTGTGTTAGTGTATGGATCTCTCTGACATTGTACCACAAGGTTCCATATCACAAAAGGAATGCTGGGATTGATTTTGGGGGTAATTGCCTCAAATTTTAGGAATAAGGGGCCAAAAAAGGGGCAAAAAACAAGCATTTTTCTAGTTTCATGACAATAACTTGTGTGTAAGTGTATGGATCTTTCTGAAATTGTACTACAAGGTTCCATATCACAAAGGGAAAGCTGGAATTGAGTTTGGGGGTAATTGCCGAAACGTTTAGGAATTGGGGGCCAAAAAGGGGCCAAAAATAAGCATTTTTCTAGTTTCCAGACAATAACTTGTGTTCAAGTGTATGGATCTCTCTGAAATTGTACTGCAAGGTACCATACCACAAAGGGAAGGCTGGGATTGATGATGGGGGTAATTGCCTCAATATTTTAGGAATTAGGGGCCAAAAAGGGGCAAAAAACAAGCATTTTTCTAGTTTCAGGACAATAACTTGTGTGTAAGTGTATGGATCTTTCTGAAATTGTACTACAAGGTTCCATATCACAAAAGGAAAGCTGGGTTTGAGTTTGGGGGTAATTGCCCTAAACGTTTAGGAATTTAGGGCCAAAAAGGGGCCAAAAAACACATTTTTCTAGTTTCCTGACAATAACTTGTGTTCAAGTGTATGGATCTCTCTGAAATTGTACTGCAAGGTACCATACCACAAAGGGAAGGCTGGGATTGAGTTTGGGGGTGATGAATCATAAGGGGGTTCAAAAAATTTGGGGGGGGATTTTTGTTTTTTCCTTTTTTTTCTTTTTTTCCTTTTTTTTTCTTTTAAAATTTTCCATTTTAAGTTGGTTATTTCTGATTTATATTTAAAAACAAATAATAATGATATAGGAGGAGATACACACAAAACAGGATGTGTAAATTATTATATAATAAGTATTGTGCAATAGCAAGAAATTTTCAATTGCACAGTATTGCACAATAGCAAGAAATCTTCAATTGCACAGTATTGCGCAATAGCAAGAAATCTTCAATTGCACAGTATTGCGCAATAGCAAGAAATATCCAATAGCACAATATTGCGCAATAGCAAGAAATTGTCAATTGTACAGTATTGCGCAATAGCAAGAAATATTTAATTGCACAGTATTGTGCAAAAGAAGATACATGTACTTCGTATAAATTGCTTAGTTCTTGACCAATTTCAATGGGGTTTTATTCTTGAATTCTTGGGGTTCTTTAATATGCTGAATCTAACCGTGTATTTAGTTTTTGGATTTTGGGCCCCGTTTTTAAATTGGTCCACATTGAGGTCCAAAGGGTCCAAAATTAAACTTTGTTTGATTTCATCAAAAATTGAATTATTGGGGTTCTTTGATATGCTGAATCTAACCGTGTGTTTAGATTCTTAATTTTTGGTTCCGTTTTCAAATTGGTCTACATTAAGGTCCAAAGGGTCCAAAATTAGTTTGATTTTAACAAAAATTGAATTCTTAGGGTTCTTTGATATGCTGAATCTAAACATGTATTTAGATTTTTGATTATGGGCCCAGTTTTCAAGTTGGTCCAAATCGGGGTCCAAAATTAAACTTTGTTTGATTTCGACAAAAATTGAATATATGGGGTTCTTTGATATGCTGAATCTAACCATGTATTTAGATTTTTGATTTTTGGGCTCCGTTATCAACTTTGTCCACATTGAGGTCAAAAGGGTCCAAAATTAAACTTTGTTTGATTTCATCAAAAATTAATTCTTGGGGTTCTTTGATATGCTGAATCTAACCATGTATTTAGATTTTGGATATTGGACCATGATAGGTGAATGTCCAATTTAAAATTTTTAAGTTCTTAGACCACATTCATTTTGTGTCAGAAACCTATGCTGTGTCAAATATTTAATCACAATCCAAATGCAAAGCTGTATCAAGCTTGAATGTTGTGTCCATACTTGCCCCAACTGTTCAGGGTTCGACCTTTGCGGTCGTATCAAGCTGCGCCCTGCGGAGCATTTTATTAGATCTGCCGTGCAGCTACTTCCTATTTGCCAAAAGTTTGAAATCAAAAATAGAGATGCAGGTCCAGATAGGGTATTGGTCTTGTGTAAATAAACAATGTTTTGTCAAAAAATACTGTTAGGCTTCATCAACATTAAGTTTAGTCAATGGTTAAAGTTTTTCCAGGCATCAATAACTTTGTCAAACCTCTGTGGAGTTTTTTTTTTTTATTAACTTGGTTTAGAAGCAAGTACATTATCCAGAGCACAATTTTGAAATTTCTTTTTCATTTGCCACATTTGAATGATTAATGAACAGTTGTTTTGTTGGAGATTTTGTGCAGAAAACATTTTTGTATACCTTTTTTTGGTTAAATTTTTTATACATCAGTAATTTTGTCAACTTCATAGAATTTTATAAAAAAGCTTTTTATGATTAAGAAATGTCTCTGAAGCAAAATTTTGAAACCCTAAACAAATTTTTAGATGCCCGTCAAAATTTCGACGGGACGTATTATGGTATACAAATGTCGTCTGTCCGTCTGTCTGTCCGGCGTAAACATGTCGCACCGTAACTTGAGAACGACTTATTCAAATTTCATGAAACTTAATATAGTTGTTTCTTATGATGATGAAACAATCTGTATATTTTTTGGTGAAAATAAGATTAAAACTTTTTGAGTTACTGGACTTAGTAACTAAAACAGGTGTGTGTTTTTTGTCACATGTCGCACCGTATCTCAAAAACAATTTATGATTATTGCTTAAAACTTGACACACTTCTTAGTTATATTAATCTTAAGATCTGTATACTTTTTGGTGATGATTCAAAATTTTATTTTAGAGATATTGAGTATTTTGTTAAAAAAGGGGGAGGGGTTTTTCACATGTCGCGCCGTATCTAAAAAACAGTTTATGATTATTGCTTAAAACTTTACACACTTCTTAGTTATATTAATCTTAAGATCTGTATACTTTTTGGTGATGATTCAAAATTTTATTTTTGAGTTATTGAGTATTTTGTAAAAAAAGGGGGAGGGGTTTTTCACATGTCGCGCCGTATCTCAAAAACAGTTTATGATTATTGCTTAAAACTTTACACACTTCTTAGTTATATTAATCTTAAGATCTGTATACTTTTTTGGTGATGATTCAAAATTTTATTTTTGAGTTATTGAGTATTTTGTAAAAAAAGGGGGAGGGGTTTTTCACATGTCGCGCCGTATCTCAAAAACGATTTATGATTATTGCTTAAAATTTTACACACTTCTTAGTTATATTAATCGTAAGATCTGTATACTTTTTGGTTTTGATTCAAAATTTTATTTTTGAGATATTGATTTTTTTTTTTTTTTAAAAAGGGGGTTTTCACATGTCGCGCCGTATCTCAAAAACTATTTATGATTATTGCTTAAAATTTTTCACACTTCTTAGTTATATTAATCTTAAGATCTGTATACTTTTTGGTTTTGATTCAAAATTTTATTTTAGAGATATTGAGTTTTTTGTAAAAAAAAGGGGGTTTTCGCATGTCAGGCCGTATGTCAGAAACTATTTGTGATTATTGCATAAAAATTCACACACAAGACAACGGGCATATCATGCGCTCATGGCGCAGCTGTTTATTATATCATTTAATGTATTCAATTTTCATTAAACAGTATTGTAAAATTTTATTTTAAAGTTAACATTCTTTTAATTTTAGGAGGCTATTAAATCAAAGGTGATTATAGATAACAATGTTACTAACAATGCTACAGTTTCACTAAATGAGAATTATTTTGACTATTGGTTTGGAATATCTCTTGAGCAAACAATATCAAATGGTTGGTTTATCAGCAGTGGTATTACGTGGTACAAGCATTGTGTATATTTACAAGGAGGAGGTTAGTATGAAGAATTGGTCTCTTGTTTTCTAATGGCAGCCCAAATTACCCGCCCCTCATGCCAGTCCACCAACCTTGCAAATCCACATATTATTGTATTATTTTAATTGTTCTCAACATGAATATGCTTGGAATTATTAACGCTATATATTAAGCAAGCAAAATACAATCATTCAATCATTTGATTTACATAGATTTGCAAAACCTTTCATAAGTAATTGTTAATATCATCATTACAAGGAACCTTTACAGTTCATTACTGTGCAATTGTGGAAACTTCATAAAACATGGTACACAAACCAGGTTATCATTACAAGAAGATGACCATTAAAGGTTGTGATATCAAAGGTCAAATTTAAAGCTAAGTTCAAAGTATAGTACATCTGAAGCAGACAACTGTTTCATTATACTTCATCATACTTGGTATGCACAATTATTATTAAAAGATGATCCTCACAGATTGACAAAGTCAGATTCAAGGTGAAAATCTTATAAACTTAATATTGAATAAACCCTATGAAGGCTTGATGTAAACAATTACTATAAAATGTGAATGAACACTTAAGCACACTAAGAAAAGAAAATTACTATTAGGAGAAATGACCTCTATTGATTGTCAGAGGTCAAAGATCAAACTGGGGTCCTGGTCAAAACCATGATTTTGAATTTGAAGATTGTAGTTTAAATACCAGAAAACAGCCTTTCATATTTGGTTAGGTTACAGGAGGTGAGATGCATTGCCTTGTTAAAATTGTTACTGAATGAATTGTTTAATATAACACTTGCATAACATAACATGAGATAAGATCAGTTTGTTTTAATCTCACTGGACTAAATATTTACTTATTATATCAATGCTAAGATTATCCAAATAGATATAAATAGTTAATCATTATATACTATTTAATATGCATTATATGATTTTAACTTCTTTTATACAGTTCCAAAGAAACCATTAGAATTGGAGGTACCCACAGATACTGACCAGGAAGACGGTATTTTTATAAGATGGACTCCATACACATGTTCCCAGAGTGAAGGAAAGGTTGTGTCTTATATAGTTGTGTTTTGTACAACTGGCAGTGCAGAAGATAAATGTCAAGGTTTGTTTGGTTATTTCAGTGTTATCACTCCTTAGATTGTCAAGGTTTTGTACAACTGGCAGTTCAGAAGATAAATGTCAAGGTTTGTTTGGTTATTTCAGTGTTATCACTCTTTAGATTGTCAAGGTTTTGTACAACTGGCAGTGCAGAAGATAAATGTCAAGGTTTGTTTTGTTATTTCAGTGTTATCACTTCTTAGATTGTCAAGGTTTTGTACAACAGGCAGTGCAGAAGATAAATGTCAAGGTTTGTTTTGTTATTTCAGTGTTATCACTCCTTAGATTGTCAAGGTTTTGAACAACAGGTAGTGCAGAAGATAAATGTCAAGGTTTGTTTTGTTATTTCAGTGTTATCACTTCTTAAATTGTCATGGTTTTGTACAACTGGCAGTGCAGAAGATAAATGTCAAGGTTTGTTTGGTTATTTCAGTGTTATCACTCCTTAGATTGTCAAGGTTTTGTACAACAGGCAGTGCAGAAGATAAATGTCAAGGTTTGTTTGGTTATTTCAGTGTTATCACTTCTTAAATTGTCATGGTTTTGTACAACAGGCAGTGCAGAAGATAAATGTCAAGGTTTGTTTTGTTATTTCAGTGTTATCACTTCTTAAATTGTCATGGTTTTGTACAACAGGCAGTGCAGAAGATAAATGTCAAGGTTTGTTTTGTTATTTCAGTGTTATCACTCCTTAGATTGTCAAGGTTTATTACAACTGACAGTGCAGAAGATAAATGTCAAGGTTTGTTTGGTTATTTCAGTGTTATCACTTCTTAAATTGTCATGGTTTTGTACAACTGGCAGTGCAGAAGATAATTGTCAAGGTTTGTTTTGTTATTTCAGTGTTATCACTCCTTAGATTGTCAAGGTTTTGTACAACTGGCAGTGCAGAAGATTAATGTCAAGGTTTGTTTTGTTATTTCAGTGTTATCACTTCTTAAATTGTCATGGTTTTGTACAACAGGCAGTGCAGAAGATAAATGTCAAGGTTTGTTTTGTTATTTCAGTGTTATCAGTTCTTATTGTCAAGGTTTTGTACAACAAGCAGTGCAGAAGATAAATGTCAAATTTCAGTGTTATCACTTCTTAGATTGTCAAGGTTTTGTACAACATGCAGAGCAGAAGATAAATGTCAAGGTTTGATTTGTTATTTCAGTGTTATCACTCCTTAGATTGTCAAGGTTTTGTACAACAGGCAGTCCAAAGATAAATGTCAAGGCTTGTTATGTTATTTCAGTGTTATCACTTCTTAAATTGTCAAGGTTTTGTACAACAGGCAGTGCAGAAGATAAATTTCATATTTCAGTGTTATCAATTCTTAAATTGAGCTCATTAGGTCAAAAAGTTGTACATAAATACAAGTATTGTGGATTCATTATTATTCGTTGGATACCAAATTTTCTGGATTTCATTGGTACAAGTGAACAACAAATTCAAATGTTCAATGAATTACAAATTTTCTATATGATTGTTTGCAGAGTTTTTCTCAATCCACGAAAATTGGTACCCACGAAAATAAATGAATCCACAGTAAGCCAAAATTTCAGTTTTAGAATAATATATTATTATTTGGTTAAATTTATATATAATTATCTAGCTGTTCACATTTTGGTGATTTTAATCATTTTAAGGGGCATAACTTGGGATCCTCCTTCCTTTAATGTACAAATTCATACTCAACTTTTGCTTCTTTGTTTCTAGCATTTTACATAGGCTGTAACGTTACCTTACCATGTGTGGCATGAATATTAAGGCCTCGTCCCCAAATTATGATTTTAGCTCCAATGGCTTTCCACTAAATTTATACAAATGATGGAAAATGAAAATAGAATTTTAATAATTATGGATTATAGATCTATAATAAACAATTAATTGTATATATGGATTATTCACACCGGCCATCACAGCTTGAAATCTGTGGAGGGATCACGTTTGAATCCCAAGCAGCAATTACACTTTATTTGTTGCAATTTGTAAGTATAATCTGGATCCCATTCCCATGCTGGATTATGCTCTGTGTGATTCGTATCTGGAGTTTACTTACCCACAGTGTTGCAGTTTCATGTAATTGATTTGGATCATTACACTGAGTTTGGAACAGTATACCCAATGTGTTATTGGGATTGTTGAACTGGACACAAATTTGAGACTTATTGCAAAAATCTGAATTTATAGTATTTTTGTACAGATGATTTGAGTTTAGATGAAGCAGTCTTCATCTAAAGAGTCTCCGTAATTCTTTATATACCTGTTTTTAGCTCACCTGGCCCGAAGGGCCAAGTGAGCTTTTCTCATCACTTGGCATCCTCCGGCGTCGTACGTCGTCGTCCGGCGTCGGCGTTAACTTTTTACATTTTGAACTGCTTCTAGAGAACCACTGAATGGAATGAAACCAAACATGGCATGAATGTTCCTTATGAGGTGCTGACCAAGTGTTGTTACTTTGTAGCCGATCCATCATCCAAGATGGCCGCCAGCCGGGGACTTAGTTTAACATAGGACCCTATGGGAAATACATACAAATGTCTTCTTTTAGAGAACCACTGAATGGAATGAAACCAAACATGGCATGAATGTTCCTTATGAGGTTCTGACCAAGCGTTTTTACTTTGTAGCCGATCCATCATCCAAGATGGCCGCCAGCGGGGGACTTAGTTTAACATAGGACCCTATGGGAAATACATACAAATGTCTTCTTTTAGAGAACCACTGAATGGAATGAAACCAAACATGGCATGAATGTTCCTTATGAGGTGCTGACCAAGTGTTGTTACTTTGCAGTCGGTCCATCATCCAAGATGGCCGACAGCAGGGGACTTAGTTTAACAAAGGACCTATGGGAAATACATACAAATGTCTTCTTTTAGAGAACCACTGAATGGAATGAAACCAAACATGGCATGAATCTTCCTTATGAGATGTTGACCAAGTGTTGTTACTTTGTAGCCGATCCATCATCCAAGATGGCCGCCAGCAGGGGACTTAGTTTTACATAGGACCCTTTGGGAAATACATAAAAATGTCTTCTTTTAGAGAACCAATAAATGGAATGGAACCAAACATGGCATGAATGTTCCTTATGAGATGTTGACCAAGTGTTGTTACTTTGCAGCCGATCCATCATCCAAGATGGCCGACAGCGGGGGACTTAGTTTAACATAGGACCCTATGGGAAATACATACAAATGTCTTCTTTTAGAGAACCACTGAATGGAATGAAACCAAACATGGCATGAATCTTCCTTATGAGATGCTGACCAAGTGTTGTTACTTTGCAGTCAGTCCATCATCCAAGATGGCCGCCAGCGGGGGACTTAGTTTAACATAGGACCCTTTGGGAAATACATACAAATGTCTTCTTTTAGAGAACCACTGAATGGAATGAAACCAAACATGGCATGAATGTTCCTTATGAGGTTCTGACCAAGTGTTTTTACTTTGTAGCCGATCCATCATCCAAGATGGCCGCCAGCGGGGGACTTAGTTTAACATAGGACCCTATGGGAAATACATACAAATGTCTTCTTTTAGAGAACCACTGAATGGAATGAAACCAAACATGGCATGAATGTTCCTTATGAGGTGCTGACCAAGTGTTGTTACTTTGCAGTCAGTCCATCATCCAAGATGGCCGACAGCAGGGGACTTAGTTTAACAAAGGACCTATGGGAAATACATACAAATGTCTTCTTTTAGAGAACCACTGAATGGAATGAAACCAAACATGGCATGAATCTTCCTTATGAGATGCTGACCAAGTGTTTTTACTTTGTAGCCGATCCATCATCCAAGATGGCCGCCAGCGGGGGACTTAGTTTTACATAGGACCCTTTGGGAAATACATAAAAATGTCTTCTTTTAGAGAACCAATAAATGGAATGGAACCAAACATGGCATGAATGTTCCTTATGAGATGTTGACCAAGTGTTGTTACTTTGCAGCCGATCCATCATCCAAGATGGCCGACAGCGGGGGACTTAGTTTAACATAGGACCCTATGGGAAATACATACAAATGTCTTCTTTAAGAGAACCACTGAATGGAATGAAACCAAACATGGCATGAATCTTCCTTATGAGATGCTGACCAAGTGTTGTTACTTTGTAGCCGATCCATCATCCAAGATGGCCACCAGCGGGGGACTTAGTTTTACATAGGACCCTTTGGGAAATACATAAAAATGTCTTCTTTTAGAGAACCAATAAATGGAATGAAACCAAACATGGCCTGAATGTTCCTTATGAGATGTTGACCAAGTGTTGTTACTTTGCAGCCGATCCATCATCCAAGATGGCCGACAGCGGGGGACTTAGTTTAACATAGGACCCTATGGGAAATACATACAATTGTTTTCTTTTAGAGAACCACTGAATGGAATTGAACCAAACATGGCATGAATGTTCCTTATGAGTTGCTTACCAAGTGTTGTTACTTTGCAGTCGGTCCATCATCCAAGATGGCCGCTAGGGGGGGGGGGCTTAGTTTAACATAGGACCCTATGGGAAATACATACAAATGTCTTCTTTTAGAGTACCACTGAATGGAATGAAACCAAACATGGCATGAATGTTCCTTATGAAGTGCTGACCAAGTGTTGCTACTTTGTTGCCGATTTACTGTTCAAGATGGCCACCAGGATATTTTATTAAATAATGGGACCAATATTAATCAAAATTTGGCCTCAATCATTATTTGGGTATCTGTTATGATTTTTATCTATCTTTACATGATTTCTAAAACCAAAGTAGAGTCAGGTGAGCGACACAGGCTCTTGAGAGCCTCTAGTTTGGAGTGTTATAGTATTTCCATCCCACTTCTGTATCTTATACTGCTCCTGAACTTCTTGTCAGAATTTTTAGAAACTTCACATAATCTTGCTTGATAACATGATGTCCTTATGTGAGCTTTACTTGCAGTACCTTTTGTTGTATTTCAATTATCTTAACAATTTCTTATCATATACAGGCAAAGAACAGAATGAAACAGTATCTCCCTCAGAATCGTCATACACATTAAAGAATTTGATTCAAGGCCAAACTTACATAGTCAACATAAGTGCCAAGATGGAAGATGGACAATATGGACCTTGGAGTAATTCTAAAAAAGTCCTGTTTAAGTCCCCAAAGACCATTGGTAAGTTAACCATGTTTTTTAAAAGTTATTGTCCAAGTCCATAATTTCAAGACAAAACTTATCACTAACATCTAGTCTTTACTTAATTATTTAATGTAGGATGTTGGAATGTTCATTAAATTTCTATTAAGGAAAACAAAATAAAGATACATTTTCAGTGAAAATTTGTCAATTCTCCACTTATTTGTCATTTTTTTTTAAAATCAAGCGCATGCATCTTTTTATGACTTGCTTAAGAGCTATGGGCTGTCAGAGGCAAGTCCATATAAAAAACATGGAAATTGATGACTCACACTACATCCTTTTCAAGTAGATTAATCATACATAACTAGATTTATTTTTCATTTTACTTCTTAGATATTTAACTGTTATTCCTGCACTTAAGGACATACGATACAGTTTTGATCCCACAGTAAATTTTTGACGAAAGTTTGCATACAATCTATTTTTTATTTAGTCAATTCGAATATTAATAAAAATATACCTTCATGTGCTACTTTTAGAGATAAATAGGGTTGAAATTATGGACATTTACTGGAAATTTCTGTTTCTTAGACATTTCTAACCTTTGAAAAGACATACTTAACTTTTTTGTTTTAAAAGATAAACGCAAGCGGGGTTTTGTAAAAACATTTGGAATATCTTCTCTACATAAGTTTGCTTTCAATTTGTGTAATAATTCTTTCGAAATAATTCATTTTTATCACATTTTCCTGGTTTTAGTAAAAAACAGCATTCTTTGCTGAATGATAAAAATCAGTTGAAAATGCATCTTTTCCCGATATGCCACAGTTTGACGTCGCGAAAAATAACATTTTACTATAGCGACATCATTACCTCCCCTGTAGCTGTATTGTATGCCCTTAATACCTATAGCGCAAACCCTCCATATTTTTTTGCTTTATCCTTTCACTTTGAACAAGTTGTCAAGTGAATGTATCATTTCATTCCTTACACATAGAATTTTGAAGTTGATTATGCATATGAACCCAGGGACCTGCATATATTAACAAGATTTGTCTCTTCATTTAATCAATTGTTTGCAAATGTTGCCCATCTCAACTTATTTGCATAGATTAGCTCCCTTGATTACAAGAACAGTGGGAAATAATGCAACAAGGCAATATTTTGTTTAAATTGACAGTATATCACTGAAAATGGTGTGTTTTAAGGAATAAAGCTGGTTTGAGCTACACATGCTACAAGGGATAAGTATAAGAATAAAGGTTATATAATTGTGTGGTAAAATTGATAAGGAAGATTAATTACTAAAAAAGGATCAATTATGATTTCGAGACATGGTGCCCCAAGTGGGAGTTGGCAATTTCCATGTTTTCTATATATAGTTGCTCCGAGGTCCTGGCCCAATGAAATCCTAGAAAGACTTTCAGATCAATCTCAAGACTTAAAAGTAAAATAACGAAGAAACCGAACTCCAAGGAAAATTCAAAACGGCAAATGGGAAAATCAAAAGCTCAAACACATCAAACGAATGGAAATCAACTGTCATATTCCCAACTTGGTACAGGCATTTCCTTATGTAGAAAATGATGGATAATACCTGGTTTTATAGCTAGCTTAATCTCTCACTAAGGCATCCCCCATAATAAGGAAATTATGATAGTTATATTTAGTTAATTCTGCAGAAGGGAAGAGAGATTGGTTCTTATTAAATATGAAATGTGATCTTCTATGATTACATAATTAAAAAATGAATTAAATAATACAAGTTAAGTGTTTTGGTCCAGTTTTATATTTTGTTGGGAATGAAAAAAGAGTTCTATTAAAAGCTTGATATAGTGGTATATAATGAAAGCTAAATTATTTACAGATTTAAATCTTTTAGAGAGACTTGGAAAAATGTTGATCAACAATTCTTATTTTCAGTGTGAAATGGGACACATTTTGAATGTGAAATTTAGTTTTTAGAAGAGAACTAAGATAGCTCAAAACTGAGATGACAGTGTTTAATTAATGTACAGGTTTCTATTTTTCTAAACCTATGATGCATTATATGGAATAGTAAAAAATCTTCCAATATGTGAATATATTGAAGAGACTGGTTTGTTTTAAATTGTCTTACTGATTGCTGTTTTCATAATTTATAATACATTTTGTTTCCAGAATCAAAAAAAGAAAATTTGATACTAGGAGCTGTAATTGGTGGTCTTGGGGCATTTGTTGTATTGATGATATGTGGTTGTGTGTATGCAAGGTAAGTAATCATACTCAAGTTGACTTTAGCTTTCTTTTTGTGTTTTTATCACACCTGTCCCCATGTACCAACTCAACTTTGACAGAACCATCATTTAGGTATTTTATTAGTATAATTGTTTTTGTATTGGCCAACATTATCACCAAAGCTAAAAATAGAATTGCCTTACAATCTAGTAACTATAAGAAATAAGCAGAAACTATACAAATTTCTGACCAATTTTCTAATTTTATCATTTGACCTTTTATCAAGAAATCTAGTAACAGATAAGCAGAAATTTTTAAAAATACAGGATCTAAAAAAAATTCTATCATCATGACGAAAACAATAAAAAAACTTCATATACTAGTTATTGGCCTCAAATGACATACTATGACCAATTTTCCTATACTTTGCTTGAAAATGTGTTTTTTGGAGAAGTCAAAACTGAAAATAAAAAACAAATAGTTTTCATAGAATTTAATGTTTATGACATCAGAAATATAGTGTCAAAATTCTAAATCAATTAATTGATTTTTTTAGAAGTTATTTGCAATAGATTTTTTTAAGCCAAATAATTTAAGATTATGTGCCTATGGGAAGGATTTTTTTTGTTATTGACTCTGTTTAGTTTATCCAGAATTATGCCCCTTTCACCTTAGAAATTTGGACCCCCTTCAGGACCTACCTTGTCATTGCAAGTCCTACATCTTTCATTGTATCAACATGAAGCGTTTTACATTGTTAGATATTCATGTTGGTAGGATGCTACAGTCCTTTGAGTTTTTCCAGAGAAATGCATCTTTAAGCTTATAAAATATATTCCCCAGTAGTTCACTATCTTGTGTTCTCATAGAACACTATTTGGTGTTCTCCTAAAATACTTTCAAAAGATGTATAATATACATATGAATACAATTGACTTTTGTGTACTTTCAGACATCGTTTAAAAAAACAAGCAGAAGAAGTGAAAGCGATAGATTTGCCTGCTATTAAAACAGTATGTATCGTTGTCTTATTTTACCTAGAACAGGTATAATACACTTGTGCTTTCCTTGTTTAATAAAATTGCAGAAGGGATATATAAACAAGAGTGGTCTTCCGTTGAATGTGATTATCTACACATTCATGTATAACAACCCTATGTAAATTTGATATAGATAAATACTTTAGCCTGTGTAATTGCAATCATTAACCATCAAGGTAAAAGCCTTGACGTGATACAAATGATACAAACTAATCGCTTGGTCAGAATTCATAATTTTCACTTAATGATGATGAATGATAACAGGTCATAGGTCAACCAATGGTCAAGGATCCAAATTAAAACTGTGTCACAATGATACAAGCTAACTTCTTAAAATGTGGTATGCAGAACTGCTAGATAGAGAGAAAGACAAGGTCAAAGATAAAGATAAGATCAAGAATCCATATTCATTTACGACAGGTGAAATTTCCTTCTTAAAAAATCTTATAAAATTTGGTATACATTTTCATTTCAAAGAAAGGACAGCCCTTGCTTATTTTCAGGTAATCAAAGGTAAGCTGAGAGTTAGGTTGTGGTCAAAATTTTTCAACACAAAAAGATGATTAGGCTGGTCAGTTTTATTAAATTATGTATGTGGAGAAGATGGATAGGAAGAAAGGGAGATATGGGTTGGACAAACATGAACCTTCTTTCTCATGGAACATTGGGAAATAATCATATATCAAAGTATTAAACAGTGCTTTTAATATATTGACTTTTTTTTAATGGCCATTCAAATAATTTGGGCTAGTGAGAATTGCTTTTTGATGCCTTTGTTGTATTTCATATATACCACCATCCTGGACAAAATTTGATTTTTAGCAGTTAAAACTTTTAGGGGGATGATGTATCACAAGGGTAGAGAAATAGGGAACAGTTTTGTTTAAGGCAAAGCCTGATAATGTAAAGATTTTTGTGGTAGCAGCATCATGTGGTTGAAGAGGATGTAAAGGGGGTATGTGTACAGAAGAACAGGAAATGAAATTGCAATTTCATGAGCAACAAAAAAATTAGAAAAAATAGATTACACATTGTGTTTACGCCAATTTGCACGATTTCACAGTGAATAATGAGTTTGACTCATAAGTTTGAATGTCCCTTTGATATCTTTTGCCTCTCTTTTACACAGTGAATAATGAGCTTCATGTAGGAAAAATATGTGAAATAAAAATTGCAAACACATTGCACGAAAATAACTCTTCACCACAGGTGTTTAAGTATGGATTATCAAAATGAATTTAAATTAGAGATAGAAGTATTAATAAATTTCCAGTGCATGCTGGAGGTACAAAATGAACAAATAAATAGATTGAACTAAAGAAAAATAATTTACTAATTATTAATAAACCTTTCTGTCTATCTTTAGAAATCTGGCTTTGATAGACTAGAAAACAATGGTAGTGGAAGTGATGCACATGAATCTCTTCAGCCTTTACTGCGAAATAGTAACGGTAATGATAGTGGATTGGGTGGATCAAGTACAAATGGAAACAGTATATCACAGAACAATAGTATGGATAAAAAATATTCCAATCAAAATGGCAGCACAGGAGGATACCATAGTAAACATAATAATCATATCCATCAGAATGGTAGTGTTATTCAAACTGATGCTATAATTGAATCTCCTGGAGTTAGTGAAAATACTAATCATTCCTTCGCAGAAACTTCATTTACTACAGGTGAAATGTCCGGTGGAAATGATATGAACAGTGTAGATTACACAGATGTTGAGTTACATTCTTCCGATGAGGAATCCTCGGCTAATAACTCTTCATGTGTTCAGTCATCAGGCTTAAGCAATAATTCACCGAAACATTCAGGAAAAAAATCATTTTACTCAAGTACTAATAAATCTAACAGAGAAAACAAAGGTTTTACGGACACAGATGAAAGAGGACAAGATTCCAGTAATATTGATTCTTATTGCGATCAGGGTGAAACAAGTGCTATAGATTCTTATTGTGAGAAGGGGTTTGATTCAGGTTCTAGTATAACGACATGATTAATATAATGTACACCAGTCTAAATATGTCACTATATTTTAACAATAATGCATAGAACGTTATCCACATATGTTACATCATGGAAAATGTCTCTCACACATATTTTGGCAATACATTTTATTTAGTTCTGTCCTTCAATCTGTTTGTCTATACATGTCTAATACAAGAGAGCTGGTCAAAACGAAATTGCTTCTTACAGGATGTAGTAGTTATGCAGGAAATGCACATCCTTTTTGATTTTTATGCCCCCGCCGTAGCGGAGGGGGCATTAAGTTTTACCCTTATCCGTCTGTATGTCCGTCTGTCCGTCCGTACGTACGTCCCAAAGTTGGTTTCCGTTCTCTAACTTTAATTTGCCTCAACCAAATGTTATGAAACTTATACACAATGCTTATTACCACAAAACACAGAACAAGTTTGAATTTTGGTGGGGTCACTATAACTGTTCTAGAGTTATGCTCCTTTACAAATGGAAAAATTGCTGAATTTTTCGTTTCCGTTTTCTAACTTTAGTTTGCCTCAACCAAATGTTATGAAACTTATACACAATGCTAATTACCACAAAATACAGATCAAGTTTGAATTTTGATGGTGTCACTTTTACCTTTCTAGAGTTATGCCTGTTTACAAATGGAAAAATTGCTGAATTTTTCGTTTCTGTTCTCTAAATTAAGTTAGCCTCAACCAAATGTTATGAGACTTATACACAATAAGTATTACCACAAAACTCAGATCAAGTACAAATTTAGGTATAATCACTCTTACTGTTCTTCAGTTATGTCCCTTTATAACTTTATATGATATGCAAGCGGGGGCATCATCTGTGTCCCATGAACACATTCCCCATTTATTTTTAATCAGGTTGTATCTAGGGCTTTCCATACAAAAACATAAACAGCCATTTCTACATATAAGGAATTTATTAAATGCAAAATTTACAATGTACATTGGAATACATGTACATAGATTGAATTGAAATAAAATTAGCAATTTAGGTTGGAATTGAGGGAATGGTTGACAGAGTCACAGACTTCATAACTTTTCACTCTGGTTGTGGTTCTACATCATGTGCATATATTTTACTTGTTTTAAGGGCATTTTACATGTAAAATTATCATGTTGAAATTTTAAACAGTAATTTTTAAAGTAATTTTTTTTTTAAATTTTGTCTCATAATTTTTGTTATTTTATTTTTCTAATTATATGAAATTCATATCATAAGGCAGCTTAAAACATTGAATCTGTTATTAGTCTTAGATTGTTAGATTAATTATCATTCATTCATAAATGTTTCAACTGACAAGTTGCATTTTTTGCAATGTTTTTTGTTTTACAGTACAATCATAGACTGCATTTATTATGAATCTTTTTGTAATCTGAGAACTGCATGAAAATGTTTGTTAAAAATTTCATCTATTAATTGTTTTCTTTAGATTCCATAAAATCTAAAAATTACAATTTTATTACAATTTCAGCATATCACAAAGAATAAGTAAAGACATATTCATGTCAATACTCAAATAGATAAATAGATTTAAATAGATTACTTTAATAAGTTACTCCTTAACTGTGAAACTATAAAACAGTCTTTAAAGTGAAAAAAAAAATCGCAGAAAAATTAAAAGTTTTTAGTTTTTGTACAAGAACATACTTTTGACAACCATGATAATTTGTTTCATTAATTAATATCACGATTCGGAGATTTTTATATTTTTTTTATTAAATTCCTAAGAAAAAATCTTGTTGCTCTTAACATTCTTAGAAACTAGGAGCGGTTTCAGAATATTACCCTTTTTAGGTCTTATCTTCACCCACTGTGTTTTACACAATACAGTATCCATACTTACTAACTTGCAGTATACACTTCTTGGACTTTCCTTTTATGTTGCAGTTATATCTTGCTGCAGCTGTTATTGTCCTATTTTGAAGTTGTTTTGTAATTACTAACTATCTATTTAAATTGGACTAAAAATCCCTTGTATGTCCGTTTGTAGTTATCTTTTGTATTAACTTATGTATGTACATACTTGTAATTTTATGAATGTATTTATTTATTTTTCAACTTTTTGAGGTAAAAATAATTGGCTTTCTTAGCCTATCTGGTCAGTTGGTGTGTTCAGTGGACATTGCTATTGTTATTAGGAGAAAATAAAATAACAAAAATACCACACTCCAGGGAAAATTCAAAATGGAAAGACCCTTATCAAATGGCAAAATCAAAAGCTCAAACACATCAAAGGAATGGAAAACAACTGTCATATTCCTGACTTGGTACAGGCATTTCCTTATGTAAAAAATGGAACTCAACACAATAGAAATTCAAATACACAAATGTATCAGTAACTTTCACTTTGATAGTTAATTTTTGATATGAAAGGTTTATTTTAGAATAGTCCATTTTTTTTAATGTGAAAGCAGCTTTGTTATGCATAAATGACAGATCTGCCATTTCTTTTAAAAATCAGGTACAATTCAGGGCATTAATGTGTCAAAATATTTATAATTATTTTTAATATAGTGCTTGAGTGTATGCTTCATTTCAATAATTTTATTCAAATTTTACACATAGTTGCATGTTGTATTATCTAATTTTATAAATAATTATTATACTGATTCATAAAAATGACTTTTAAGGTGAAATTGAGGTTTTGATTAAGGCTTTTATCTGGTCTTCTGTCAGTCACCTGTTTCCATTGCCTGATTTTACTTGGTAGGTGTAAAAATAATAAGATTTTTGCAGTGGACATTTTACTTTGAAACTTACCCTATACAAATAAATACTTTGCTGCCCATTTAAATCCATTATAAAAAAGCTCTAAAGTGGAGAAAAAATTAACACAGCAAATATTTTACTGACCCTTTTAAGGCCACGCAAACAAAAACTGACAGGAAATTAAATATATTTACACTTATATAACATTCCTAAATCTATATTAATATTGTATTCTTTGATATTTTCTTATTTTCTTTTTTTTTTACAATTTCATTCAATAAATCTTATATACAGGGATTAAATTAGCTCATCAAAAGATAAGTGTGCATGTCTTGATTTGTAAAAACTACTTGACTATCAATATTCCATAGAATATTCTTGATCCTGAAATAGTGAAAATAACCCCATGAGAATACCAGATTTTGAAGTTTTAAACTGGTTAGCAGATAAAGATGAGACGTCTTTCAGAGCAATCTTTTTTGTCTTCAATCCTAATAATTACAGCATTCATTTAAATATAGTGGTGTCATACCTTTTATTTACACATATAATTTGCATTCCATTTTATTACTGATCTGTTGTTGTTAGTATGCATAATGTTTGTGAAAATTTACAATGTTTTATGATCTAACTATGTCACTGAATAAATTGTACAAATATACATCTCAGAGAAGTTTTCACCTCCATTTATCCTTAAATAACTATATTGTGTATGTGATAAAATATTGATATGGAATATATTTCAATTTATCAGCTGTAAGGAGTAAACATAATTCTTCTCATAACCTGCTCTGTTCTTGAGGATGACCTATTCTGTCAGAATTTTGCAATTTTAACAACTACCAAATAATGCATGTTAAATCAGATTTTTAGCTCACCTGGCTAAAAGGTCAAGTGAGCTTTTCTCATCACTTGGCATCCGTTGTCCATCATCGGTGTCATCGTCAGCGTCTTCGTCTGTTAACTTTTACAAAAATCTTCCCCCTATGAAACCAATGTACCAAATTTAACCAAACTTGGTCACAATCATCATTGGGGTATCTAGTTTAAAAAAATGTGTCTGATAACTCCGCCTAACAACCAAGATGGCCTACATGGCTAAAAAAGAAACATAGGGGTAAAATGCAAGTTTTGTCTATTATTTAAAAAACCCCTATAAAGAGAGAAATAATGACAAATGCAAAAAGGTTCAGAATGTTGAGCTCTATAGGAGTTATTGCCCTTAAATGACGAATTTTACCATTTTTAACCGTATTTTCGAAGGAAATATCAGTTATTGATTTGGGGACGTACGGCAGGCGGGCGGAGGGGCGGGCGGCTGCCAAACAGTGTCTCTTCAATAACATGAAAATGCTGTAATGATTTTTTTTCAAATTTAGATATGTTGTTTCTTGTGACTAAATGAAGGTCAAGTTCAATTTTCAGGATTTAAGTATTTCTCCTTTTTGAGTTATCGCCATTTTTATACGACCGCAAAAAAATTTTTGTGGTCGTATATTGGTATGACGTTGGCATCCTCGTCGTCGTCTGGCGTCGTCCGGCGTCGTCCGAAGACACATTGGTTTTCGCACTCTAACTTTAGTTTAAGTGAATGGATCTCTATGAAATTTTACCACAAGGTTCAATACCACAAAAGGAAGGTTGGGATTGATTTTGGGGGTTATGGTACCAACAGTAAAGGAATTAGGGGCCAAAAATAAGCATTTTTGTAACTTCCAGACATAACTTGTGTGTTAGTGTATGGATCTCTCTGACATTGTACCACAAGGTTCCATATCACAAAAGGAATGCTGGGATTGATTTTGGGGGTAATTGCCTCAAAATTTTAGGAATTAGGGGCCAAAAAAGGGGCAAAAAACAAGCATTTTTCTAGTTTCATGACAATAACTTGTGTGTAAGTGTATGGATCTTTCTGAAATTGTACTACAAGGTTCCATATCGCAAAGGGAAAGCTGGAATTGAGTTTGGGGGTAATTGCCGAAATGTTTAGGAATTGGGGGTTAAAAATAAGCATTTTTCTAGTTTCCAGACAATAACTTGTGTTCAAGTGTATGGATCTCTCTGAAATTGTACTGCAAGGTACCATACCACAAAGGGAAGGCTGGGATTGATGATGGGGGTAATTGCCTCAATATTTTAGGAATTAGGGGCAAAAAACAAGCATTTTTCTAGTTTCAGGACAATAACTTGTGTGTAAGTGTATGGATCTTTCTGAAATTGTACTACAAGGTTCCATATCACAAAGGGAAAGCTGGAATTGAGTTTGGGGGTAATTGCCGAAACGTTTAGGAATTGGGGGCCAAAAATAAGCATTTTTCTAGTTTCCAGACAATAACTTGTGTTCAAGTGTATGGATCTCTCTGAAATTGTACTGCAAGGTACCATACCACAAAGGGAAGGCTGGGATTGATGATGGGGGTAATTGCCTCAATATTTTAGGAATTAGGGGCCAAAAAGGGGCAAAAAACAAGCATTTTTCTAGTTTCAGGACAATAACTTGTGTGTAAGTGTATGGATCTTTCTGAAATTGTACTACAAGGTTCCATATCACAAAGGGAAGCCTGGGATTGAGTTTGGGGGTGATGAATCATAAGGGGGTTCAAAAAATTGGGGGGGGGGGGGGGATTTTTTTTTTTCATTTTTTTTTCTTTTTTTCCTTTTTATTTTTTATTTAAAATTTTCCATTTCAAGTTGGTTATTTCTGATTTATATTTTAAAGCAAATAATAATGATATGGTAGGAGATACACACCAAACAGGATGTGTAAATTATTATATAATAAGTATTGTGCAATAGCAAGAAATTTTCAATTGCACAGTATTGCACAATAGCAAGAAATCTTCAATTGCACAGTATTGCGCAATAGCAAGAAATCTTCAATTGCAAAGTATTGCGCAATAGCAAGAAATATCCAATAGCACAATATTGCGCAATAGCAAGAAATTGTCAATTGTACAGTATTGCGCAATAGCAAGAAATATTCAATTGCACAGTATTGTGCAAAAGAAAATACTTCGTATAAATTGCTTATTTCTTGACCAATTTCAGTGGGGTTTTATTCTTAAATTCTTGGGGTTCTTTAATATGCTGAATCTAACCGTGTATTTAGTTTTTTGATTTTGGGCCCCGTTTTTTAATTGGTCCACATTGAGGTCCAAAGGGTCCAATATTAAACTTTGTTTGATTTCATCAAAAATTTAATTATTGGGGTTCTTTGATATGCCGAATCTAACCATGTATTTAGATTCTTAATTTTTGGTTCCGTTTTCAAATTGGTCTACATTAAGGTCCAAAGGGTCCAAAATTAAACTTAGTTTGATTTTAACAGGGTTCTTTGATATGCTGAATCTAAACATGTATTCAGATTTTTGATTATGGGCCCAGTTTTCAAGTTGGTCCAAATCGGGGTCCAAAATTAAACTTTGTTTGATTTCAACAAAAATTGAATATATGGGGTTCTTTGATATGCTGAATCTAACCATGTATTTAGATTTTTGATATTCAACCATAATAGGTGAATGTCCAATTTAAAATTTTTAAGTTCTTAGACCACATTCATTCTGTGTTAGAAACCTATGCTGTGTCAAATATTTAATCACAATCCAAATGCAAAGCTGTATCAAGCTTGAATGTTGTGTCCATACTTGCCCCAACTGTTCAGGGTTCGACCTCTGCGGTCGTATGAAGCTGCGCCCTGCGGAGCATTTTATTAATTTCCAAAAGTGGTATTTTTAAATATTTTTCTCTTGTTATCACATTATGACTAAGCATATGGTAAATCTCTTATCTCACAATTATAATTGGAGTGACAGATTTATTTGAAAATTTTCTGTTTCCTAAGTGGTGATGATAATAAGCTATATTATTAGACATTTTGAAGTTAATTACATTACTAATTATTATATATGTAATGTTAGAGTACTATGTTAAACCATAGTTCTGTTCAAAGGGAAAAAACCCTTCAGATTTGCAAGTATGATTTTCATTATTAATTAGATCTGGGAAATATCTTAGCATATGATAATAATTGGAGTGACAGATTTATTTTAAAATTTTCTGTTTATATATAAAGTTTGAAATTTACTGTTCATTATTAGACACTTTGGAGATAATTACAGATAAGTTTTATAGGTTTTTAAGAGATAGACATTTTGAAGTTAATTACATTACTAATAATTATACTGTAAATTCAGAAATTATTGCGATGTTTTTATTATTGCGAAAAATGCGACAGGGTTATAATCGCAATAATTTAAACTCGCATTTTGAAGTTTTTTATTTGAATTAAACAGGATTTTTCTCAAAACCGCAAAAATTAAAATCGCAGTATAGTCTAAAATGACAAAATCGCAATGATAAATGCACGCAATAATTTCTGAATTTACAGTATATGTAATGTTAGAGTACTATGTTAAACCATAGTTCTGTTCAAAGGGAATTAACCCTTCAGATTTGCAAGCATGATTTTTATTATTGATTTTTCTTTTCTTTGGTAAATTGTTTGAAGAATTTTATCATGTTTATGTTGTGTTTGTTATTCTGTAAAAACTAATTTTCTGAGTGATATATGTATATAATTGTTTTGTTGTGTCTGTTAACTTTAATTTTTACTTGATCTTGTTTGGGGTTCCAGATTTGAAAATTCATTAGATAATAATCTATTATCTATAAGTAAAAAGTTAAAATTAAGATAAGATAAGTTGCAGATCTATATTAGTATGTTACAAATGAAAGAAAAAATATTGGGATCTATCAACTATATATATAAAGTTTGATTACACTAAGTGATAAGATAACACACATCTGGTAATTGTCAATGCAATCACCCAATTATAATTGGAGTGACAGATTTATTAGAAAACTATTAATTATATTTGATTATAATTTAAAAATAAATATAACATCATATCTCTTTACATCATATCTAATTTTAGAGTCTATGGTTAAATCATATTTAATTTTAGATTTACATTATTGGTTCATGGAAATAAAGTTTGAGTTATTTGCATTTGAACAGAAATGGTTTAACTAAGAAGTATTTCATCAAAAATTGAATTCTTGGGGTTCTTTGATATGCTGATTCTAGCAATGTACTTAGATTTTGGATATTGGACCATAATAGGTAAATGTTCAATTTCAAATTTTTCCGTTCTTTGACCACATTTATTTTGTGTCACAAACCCATGCTGTATCAAATATTCAATCACAATCCAAATACAGAGCTGTTTTAAGCTTAAATGTTGTGTCCATACTTGCTCTACTGTTCAGGGTTTGACCTCTGCAGGAAAATCTGGTTTGCTGTCTCTCTGACAGCCTCTTGTTTAAATTTGTACCCTATTATCTCAAAAATTGTAATAGATGGGGAGGAATAGCAAAAATGATCAGCAACACAAGATTTACAAATAAGTCAACATGACCAAAATCGTCAGATAATAATGACAATTTTTACCAAATTTTTGAGTTTTTGGTCTATATCTTAAAAACTATACATTTTGATAGATAGATAGATAGAAACTTTAAAAAGCAAAAAAGGGGCCTCAGTGGCCGAAGTAGTCCAACTACTGTATCACTAGCATGTCAACACTGAGGTTGTGAGTATGAATCCAGCACAGGGCAGGTGCACTCGACTCCATTCTTAATTGACAAGGATTGTCAGTTTTC